ATCAATTTATGTTTATATACAGTAGATTGAAGACGAAACAAAAAATAGATAATTGTATGAGCCTTTGAATAACTTTTAAACATCTTCTCAAATTAAATATTATAGAGGTAGGCCTATTTGTAATCATGCTCATCTAATACTTCTTACTAATTGACCTATTCCATTAACCCATGGAGTCTTAAACAATACTAACGCATGCCTACATCTCATATCGAGTTCTGATCAAGATAAATCTTTTTTAAAGCTTTCTTTATGCAGGTTTATAAATAAATTTGAAGAATTTGGTGAAAAAATTCACGACAAATTGGGCACTTCGGATCCTCTTTTAGGAGTCTCAGAGAGCAATCGTTACATGTGCTTGCATGTCCGCAAGGCACCAAAGCAGCGTTCCTTTCGGAATCTAGACAAATTCTGCACGGAGTATCCGTTTCCCGTCTTTTCAGCTTGGCTTGGGCATCCTCAAGAGCTCTTTGTTTGGCACTAAGTGCTTCTTGTAGTTTTGTTTCCTTTTGTGTGAGTTGTGTCTCAACGTCGAATCTTGCCTGCGTTGCAGTGATATTACTGTTTTGCACGTAGAGATCGGCGTTCATCCGTGCCAGTTTACTCTCTGCATCTTTCGACTTGATCAATTCGGTCCGCAATATCTCCACTTCTTCAAGTGTTTCTGAGAGTTTCCTCTTTGTTTTCAGTGTTTCTTTCTCCTTTTCGGAAAGTTCGACTACCAGTTTCTGGAAGGATATTTGGGTCTCATATAACAGGTTGTCGATTTCGTTTTGTTTTCTATTGACTAAAGCATTACTGTCATATAGTCTCGCATTCGACAGTTTGAGTTTCTGTTTAGTCTTCCGATGGCCATCCCATTCGTGTTGGAACCTACCTTTCAAACCTGCGATCTGCGCCATTAGGATACCTTTCTCGCTTAAGCCTAGAGCCGGTCTATGCACTGTCGATATCTCCGTTTCTCTTGGCAGTATTAATCGCTGATTATTTCTGAGTTCAACTTCTGTCAAGTACAGTCGCTTTAGGAGGAAAGCAGACCAAACAAACTCAAACAAGAAAAACAAATTTCCGCTCCAGGTTGGATAAGAAAACATATACTGCAATGGTATCATAACCATTGCATAGCTATACACATTATGTATCCAGAGTGCATCCATATTTTGTTTATTTCCTGCACTCTATCTATGCAAAATAAAGCTGATCTATCTTTAATTTTGCAAATAGCTTCTTGGACTCTTCTGATGTTTGTAATTGGTTGATGCGAAAGGTGCCTCACTATGAAACCACTGAGTTGTTCTCCGGTGATGACAATTGTAAGGAGCTGCTATTAAGACGTGTTATTTGGGGAAAATTGAATATTTTGCATCATCTGGACAAGTTTCTTGGTATTAGCAAAGCATATAAGTTATACACAATGAATTCCTTTTCCATTAGAAAGCTAGGATGTTTTTCTCCATGACATCACACGGGGTTTTTCTCTCTCGGGTATTCAGCATCCAGCATGTCACACCATTCTAGATTCCAGAAAGAAAGAAAAAAGGATAACAAATTAAATTTTGTTTTTTGCATCACTCAATATAAAACTTCTTTTTCTTTCTCTACAGCTGTCTTTGTCCACATTGCCTTGGTTTTATGTGGCCCATGTAGGATCACGACAAATCAAAAACAATAAACGAGCAGTGGTCTAATCCTTAGGAATATTATTATCAAGGCTGGTATCTAATTCTTTCAAAATACCGTTACAGGTCATTCCGTAATCTTGAGAATTTTAAATCACATGAAAATGAGATGTTCATCTTTAAAATCGTATTTACAAGTCTTCATAACCAACACTGTCAAACAACTCGAAACTTTCTCTCAAACATTTTCATCAAACAGCTCAAATATGAGTAAACAATGAGTAACAATAAGTATTGTTACTTGTTTATCACATTCCACGTTTTATTAAAATTTGTCAGTACCCTGAAAACGACCAGTAAAACTAGACACGATGGCTCACTGGTAGAGTAGTTTTGTAACCGGGTTGTCCCGGGTTCGTAAACGAATCTATGCGCTAGTGCCTATCAGTTTGGTATTAATCCTCATTACCAAAACCATCGCAGAGGACTTAAAGCCCCTGGTTGCTAATACTTACAAGCAAACGCGTGTTTTCTCAGCAGTCCAGTGAAACAAACCATCGACATCAACCAAAATTAAATTAAACCAGTCTAGTATGAAGCATAAAATTATATTCTAATGAAATGATAATGTCCATCACACAACTGTTGTACACGTCATCACGCCTATGAAACTCTCCGATTTGGGGAATCCCACTCAATGATGCCGTCGCTTTCACACAAACAATTCGAATCAATATATATCCAAACGGGACTTCCAGGGCATAATTCTTTACACACCGAATCACACCTACTTATAGATTTTACTATTGCCATCTATTTAGCTTACCATGTAGATAAAACTCGAATAGTGTTCTCTCAAATATATAGGTGCAGCATTGTAGATCACGAAGGCCGTAATGCCACGGTATGGTGAAAAGTGAATTTATTTTGATTACTTCTATAGTCTGGCATCAATGGAAAATAGATTGATTGAATTTATATGGTGATAAACTACTCCCTTTGGTTGTATTGTATTATTCCAACAAAAACAACAAGAAGAACATCGAGCAAAATGTATTATGTTTCACTAAGCTTGGTGTTTTTCTGCACTTTTTTTCAACAAGAGAAGAACAAAATATAGTAGTTTCAATGTTCTGATCAGGAAATCCACTTTCGAAGTAAGGAACGATATTGTGGACGATTCATTATGCCAAAGTCGTATTTTTTGCCTCGCTACTTTGCAAAAATGATTTGGAAATACATGAAAGCGTCAAAAGTTGTAGTATTTCGAAGTCCAACGAAACCTGTTACATGTTGTTGCTTAAAAATGATTGCATACAGGACAAAGGTTGTTTTCTTTCCCCTTTTCCAGTTAAAACAGCATTACACGTGTATGTGGCCTTCGTTCTTGTCGACTAAATACAATAGAAACAAATTGTTCTCTCGAATACCATGATAACAGTTTACATATATTTCTCTCTCTCTCTCTCTCTCTTTCTCTCTCACATACTCTCTCTATAATTATATACATGTATCTGTGTCTCTCAGTATCCTTTTCTCTGTCTCCCTCTCCATCTTTCTCTGTCTCTGTCTCTCTCTCACAAAACACATACACACACACACGCACACAAACTTTTCCCAGTAATTGTTATGTTGATTTCATTCAATATCAAAAAAGTACAAATAATTCTTTAAAATGTTATTTCATCGTAATAACATAACTAAAATAATATAATGCATGAACAAGTAATAGATTGCGATCGAAGAAATTGTTTTGAATAAAATCAGTAACAATATACATGTACCTTACTACCCAATCCACCATTCGATAAACTCACACTCAAACACGCATACGCACACACACACACACACACACACACGCACGCACGAACAATGCACTCACACACTCATACACAAAGATCGTTTGAAAACATTTTCATTGAAATTTCACATTAAGATTTTTATTTTGAGGTCGCCATTTTTGTCAGACGTCGCTTACGATGGCGGTCTTTTGCACATTTCCACATATAGCTAGGATAATACTTTAAATTCGCTATACTATATTATAGAAATATCCAGTTCGTTATTATATTGAAGTATGTAAATCACATTTTGACGTGAATTTATTATTGTTTGCATATTTGTGTTACCTGACGTTTACATGTTCTAACTCACTCATGCTCAAACGCACACTCACATACGTGTACTCACAACAATAACGCCTGGCTGGAATGCTCCCCAGGGAGTGGAGATTGTGCACACAGTGTGTGCGGGCAAGCACTGAATCCAATGGCCGGGATAACAGTATATCTGTAAAGCACTTAGAGACATCGAAGATGTATTAAGCGCTATATAAAAGCGGAATATTATTATCATTATTATTTCGCTCTAATTCTCACTGACCGGTTCGTCTTAATTTTCTGCTTCTATCAAAATCAATTTAAAATTAGGCTGGACTTCTCCTTTGATAAACAGAATACGTCGACCAAAATCACGTATGTGCTGGCCTGTCGCCATGGAACTGAAATTTCCCTAAGTATTCCATTGATAATCCTCTCCTAAAAGTGGCGGCGTCTGTTGATGCATTGTGTTACACTTGAAGCCATGTAATGAAAATCTCGTCATCAAATTATACTATATATATAAGATATGAAAGTTATATAGAGACCTACAGAGACCACTTTGCTCTCCCCGTAGAAGGTGACTGATTGCATTTTAAATCAGCTTCCATCCTATTCCCCATTCAACTAGTAAAACCATGATACTGGCGTTATGAAGGTAAAGGTGGATAATAGCCTGTGCATATCATGGAAGACGAAACAAAAACTACATAATTGCATACGGCAGTGTAGTCTTCGAAAATCTTCTCAACACCTTCTTATATTATATTTTTGAGGGGTAGGCCTAGCATTTGTAATCACGCTTATCTGAATATGCAGTCTTTACAGGACAAAACCGCTTGATCACAGAATAAAATAATAATTCCTTAATAACTGACCTATCCCACTAACCCACAGTGTTATAAAACATTATCAAAGCATGCACTCAACTCAACCATGTCTTTAGCTTACTTTATGCGGGTTCATGAAAAATTCTAAGAGTTTGGTGCATTAATTCACGACAAACTGGGCACATCGGATTGCCTCTTCTGTAGAGTCTCAGAGAACAGTCGAAACATGTGCTTGCATGTCCGCAAGGCACCAGAACAGTGGAATCTAGACAAATACTGCAAAGAGTATCTGTTTCCTGTCTTTCCAGCTTAGCTTGGGCATCCTCAAGAAATGTTTGTTTGGCAGTAAGTGCAGCTTCGGTCCTATCAAGTTTTGCTGCAGTCTCAACATCAGGTCTTTTCTGCGTTCATCTGTATCAGTTGACTCTCTGCATCTTTCTCTCTACTTTGTGCTAAGTTTCTGATAATGTTCTCTTTCTATTCGTTTTAGTCTGATTTACGTGAAGTCCAGTGATTTTAGCGTTTCCAACGCAGAGTTCGGCGTTCATCTGCGCCAGTCGCCTCTCTGCATCTTTCGACTTGACCAATTCGGTTCGCAAATTGTACAGTTCCTTCTTGGTTTCTGAGAGTGTCCTACTTATACTCATTATTGCAGTCTTCTTTTCGGAAAGTTCGACTCCAAGTTTGGTCAAGGATATTTGGGTATAAACGTCGAGTCTCTTCCGCGTCGTAGTAATTCTAGCGTTACTAACGCAGAGTTCGGCGTTCATCTGCGCCATTCGACTGTCTGCATCGTTCGACTCGACCAATTCGGTCCTCAAACTCTCCGATTCCTTCTGGGTTTCCAAGAATTTCCTGTTTAGATTAATTATTGCAGTCTCCTTTTCGGAAAATTCGACTCGAAGATTGTTTAAATGTATTTTGGTCTCAACGTCGAGTCTCTTCTGCGTCTCAGTGATTCTAGCGATTCTATCGTAGAGTTCGGTGTTCTCCTGTGCCAGTCGCCTCTCTGAATCTTTCGACTTGACTAAGTTGATCCGCAATTTCTCTGATTCCTTCTGGGTTTTCGAGAGTGTACTGGTTATATTCATAATTTCAGTCTCTTTTTCGGAAAGTTCGTCTAGAAGTTTGTTGAAGGATATTTGGGTCTCAACGTCGAGTCTCTTCTGCTTTTCGGTGATTCTAGCAATTCTAACGTAGGGATCTGATGAGATCACCTGCGCCAGTCGCCTTTCTGCATCTTTCGACTTGACCAATTCGGTCCGCAATTTCTCCAAATCTCTCTCGGTTTCCGAGAGTTTCCTGTTTATTCTTCGTATTTCAGTCTCCTGTTCGGAAAGTTCCTTTCGGGTCTTAACCTTGAGTTCAGAGATTTCTTCTTGTTTTTTATTAACTAAAGCCCTATTTGCACAGAGCCTTGCATCCGTCTGATAAAGTTTAGTCTGGCGATGACTTTCACATTCATTTCTTAACCTACCTTTCAAATCTCGAATAATTCCGTTAGTTTCTCTAAGTTCAACTTCGATTAAGTATAGTCGCTTTAATAGGAAAAATGAACAAACAAACTCAACTAAGAAAAACAAATTGCCGCTCAAGGATGGATAAGAAGACATATATTGCAATATCACCATAACTATTGCGTATTTAGACACACTACATATAGAGGGTGTATCCATATTTGTTTTATTTTCTACATGCTATGTAGTCAGATTAAAGCCGACGTCTGATCTGAGGTATCTCTCAAATTTTGCAAAGGTTTTCCTAGACTTTTCTGATGTCTTTTATTGGATGATGCCAAAGATGCTTCACCATGGGACTACGGAGTTAGTCTTCCGTGATGATAATTGTAATGCAGATGTGTTACTTGGAGCAAATGGAATATTATGCAGCATCTGGAACAGGTTCTTGGTATTAACGAAGCACAATCACACGGGTCCCTCTTTAGTAATAAAGATGCAATCCATTTGAATTTACCATAGTGACAGCGGAGTAAGAAGTGCTTGTCGGTTATCCAGCATCCAGCTTATTACACCATTCTAGATTCCAGGAAGAAAACAAACAATGATCAAAAATAAAAAGTTGTCCTTTCCATCCCTCAATTTAAACTTTTCCCACTGAAAGCCATTTTCTAGCCCTTCCGTTTTGAAGGAAGTTCTAAATTAGTATTGTCTTTCAAATGCCATTGGATTTTTACCTTTTTATTTGTTTGGCCTGCAAATGGGACGTAGTACCTTCAAGATACTGTTAATGCACGGGTACTTAATAAGGGATATGCATTTATGAATATTTCTACATAATGTTACAGGTCATTCTGTTATATTTAGAAATTTAATCTTATAAAAAACGGAAGGTTCATCTTTGAGAATCGTATTTAAAAGTCTTTATACACGTTTCTCATCTTGACCAATCTTTATCAACTTTAACATGTTTATCAAGAATGCTTGTACAGCTAATATATGAGACTTTAAAGATAACTATTTGTTATTTGGTATATCACATTCCACGTTATTTTAAACATCTTCAGTACCCTGCCAATGACCAGTTAATCTGGGCACGATGGCTCAGCGATAAAGAAGCCTTTTAACATGGCGGTCCCGGTTTGTAAACAAATCTGTGCGCTATAGTTCCAATTGGTTTGTCATTAATCCTTATTACCAAAATCAGTAGAGCGGACTTAAGGCTATAACGTACCCTAGTTGCTAATACTTACAAGCAAACACGTGTTTCCTTAGCAGTCCGGTAAAAGAAGCCATCACCATCAAACCAACTTAAACCGAACCAAGCTAGTATGAAGCATAACAGACTGTTCAAATGCAGTTATGATGTCCTTGCACACAATAAATGTTGTACACACTATAACTATTCACCTATACGCCTATGAAACTCTCTCATTTGGGGAATCCTAAACTAGGTTAGTCCGTCGTTTTCACACCAACAAAAAACTCGAATCAATCAATATCCCGACAGAACTTGCATGGTAAAATATTCAAAAACTGATCGATACACACCAACTGATAGATAATATTGTCATCTATTTAGCTAAGCATACAGATCACACTCGAAAAGGATTCTCTACATGGTTTTGCTGCAGGTGTAGATATTTGACGGTATATCAAAGAGCAACAAAATTGCGTATACTTCTATGAAGCCTCGTTTTTAATTTATTTATTCAGTTAGTTATCTATTTATCGAATGTACTTATTTCTATGTTTATCCAGGGAGATGAGAGTTTAAATTTAAACTCACATCCTCCGGGTTCATCTTTGTATTCATCTATATATTTAAATATTTATTTGATATGTATTTAGTTATCTATTTGGATATTTATTTGATATGTTTGTATCTATCTATTTGAGTGTGTATTTACGTAGTAATGTATCTATTTAACTAGTTACTTGTCTATTAATTCGTCTGTTCATGATTTAATTTATTGTCAATATTATAGGTACGGACCCACGTTAGTTGCAGAAGGACGTCTGACTGGAGGCGATGTGCTGACTGTCTTCTTCTGTGTCATGATCGGGGCTTTCTCCATTGGCAACATAACCCCATCGGTCACAGCCATCACCACCGCCAGGGGTGCAGCGGTGATTCTTTTCGAAATCATTGATGCCGTGAGTCCATAAACGCCAGTAGTTAGTTTCCAATGGGGGTAGGGGAGGATTATGAATATTAACGGCTTTAATACAATATATTTAATAGCTTAGACATATACCGAGATGTGATTGGTCCGGAGTTCGTCACGTGATATCAATTACGAGGATCGTAATTGTTATATTTTCCTGGCCGGTCACTTTCCAGTGGTGAATTCAATATATTTTTAATCAGTGCATGATGCCCTCTTCAAGACTGCATGTCACCAATTGCACACATTATACCAATATCCGAGGTCAATTTTGTTTTATCAATATATTTTTCCTCCGGTATTATGGGGGGGGGTGAAGTATAATCTTTCCTGAAATGAATCCCTTTTCTCAAGAAGTGGTAGCACCTCTTGGAATTCCTCTATATACACTTCTGGGCTAAAGCCAGTGTAAAGATAGGTACATCTATATTAGCCCGAGTTTAGCTTGGAAGCTCGAGTTACTTGCCCGATACCTTGTGAGTGCTTTGAGCAGCCCATTGATGTATAAGTGTTCGGTATGCATATGTAGCCGTAGTTGTTTTGTATTGTCAGGTAAAGTACAAATAAATCACAGTGGAAAAATACATTATGGAATGACATTTGGATATTTCTTCTTCCGCATCTATTACAAGAAAATCTTTTGTTACTCCCTACTCAGTAGGCATTGTAATAAACCCTAATTAAATGAAGATTTACATTCTTGATATTTAATGATAATACCAGACTCAAGTCATCGATGCTTGCTTCAAAAAGGGGTTCACCCCACCAGAGATGAGAGGAAAGTTAGATATTTCAATTAATTGATGTTTTTTTCTTTTCATATTGCATCATTATTATATAATATTACATCATTACATAGGTTTTACAAACTGTTTTCAGTATGGGCAGTGCAATAACCCAAATTCAAAACAAATTAATGTAAACATTCTTTGCATAATGGCACCAGACTCCTGTCATCGATGCTCGTTCCAAGAAGGGTGTCACCCCTGCAGAGATGACGGGGAACATCGACTTCCAAGGGGTGCACTTCTCTTACCCCACCCGACCCGATGTACCGGTGTTGAAAGGGGTAGATCTGAGCATCAGGAAGGGGCAGACGGTGGCCTTGGTGGGGTCCAGTGGGTGTGGCAAGTCTACCGCTTTCAACCTGCTCCTCCGATTCTATGATAAACTCTCTGGCAAGGTAGGATATCTAAAGGTTCCGATTCCATGCGTGTGGTCAAATTTTTGAAAGCTCACTGTCTGTTCTTTAGCAAAATGATAAATATACTCTAACATGTTAAAAGAAATGATTAAGAAAAGCGTATTCAGTTTGTAATGGCTACGCTACCTGTTTTTTCATCCGTTACGCTAAGTTCTTTTTAATTATGTGTGTTTTTAGTTTGTAGATGTGGTGTGTGAGTGTGTGGATAGTGGAGGGGGTACACAATGAGTATGCGCAATTTTCGGATTGGCCAGGTTAGAGAAAATGCAAATGAAATGGGGCAAAACTCATTCAAAGAGTGAGGATTCGATATAAATGTCCTTGGATCAGCCATTTTGGGGGCCCTAGCCATAATCGTTTATAATAATTCGTTAGCTTCATATCATTTTTTTTCCATGTGTATGTCTTTTTCTGAAAGATCTTAATTGATGGTAATGAAATCACCGAGCTGAATCTCCGCTGGTTGAGGGAGAACATAGGTGTGGTGAGCCAGGAACCAATCCTCTTCAACTGCTCCATAGAAACCAACATTTCTTACGGACGAGATGGTGTTACTAAGGAGGAGATCATCAAGGCTGCCAAGATGGCCAACGCCCATGACTTCATCTCAAAACTACCCAAGGTGAGCTCAAATTAAACATATCTTTACTTAAAGAATCCCTAGGCCTACGTCAAGACGTAAACTTTTTTTTTTAATTTTTAATTTCAAGTTAAGATGATTATCCTGCAGTTTGGTAATTATGCACAAAATTAACTTAGATATCTTGGGAATATCTTGGGTCAGACCACGAGTGCGTAAGTATGTGTGTGTGTGTTTGTGGGGGATAGCAGCGGTCTTACTCGATTTGAAGTGATACGAATGAAGGAGCCCAACGACAGAGGATCGGAATTAGGATGGGGATGGAGTTGTCATGGTTGTTGACAGGTCGTCTTCTTTTAGAATTTATTTTTCGTCATTGTCCCAATCCCCCTACCCCCTCTCATCCTCTCTATTTGTCGCCCTCTCACTCACTAACTTTCTTCTCTCTCTCTCTCTCTCTCTGTCGCCCTCTCACTAACTCTTTCTCTTTTTATATAAATCCATCTCTCTTTTCTCTCCCCCCCCCCTTTTTTTTGTTTCTCATTTTCACCATTCGATGTGGGAGGGGGCATATCCTTTGAATGCGCCAAAGTGTGAAATTATTTGTACCCTTTCTTTGCGCAGGGTTATGATACGATGGTTGGTGAGCGTGGAGCCCAGCTGTCCGGTGGTCAGAAGCAGAGAGTGGCCATCGCCAGAGCTCTGGTCAGAAACCCACCTATCCTTCTATTGGACGAAGCTACCTCAGCCCTGGACCGAGAGAGTGAGAAGGTCGTACAACAAGCTCTGGATAAGGTATGCAGTCTCGAGGAGGGGGAGGGGGCTGGGCGCTCGATGGAATATCTTGAAAGGAGGGAAAAAACAGGGACAAAAGTCATGCAAACAGCAGTTGCAAACAGGCGAACAATGGACATCCTGAAAAAGCAATAATTATAATATTTTCCGAGATGATTATTTAGAATTGCTTAAGTGTCAAAAAAAATGATTTGCCTGAAAAGGTAACAAAAACTTCACAAATTAGAGAAAAGTGACGACGTGAAGTCTGGCCTATTGCCGCCCCTTTTTTGGAAACTAAATTGTTCAGACATGAATGAATATCAAAACATCAAGAAAAATAAAGATTGCGACTTTTCACTGTATCTGTGTAAAGTGTTGAATTAGGATTATTTGGTGTGATTTCAAAATTTCGCTCATACAATGCACTTTGCTGAATCCTTATCGTTATTCTGTTTCCTTTGAGCAATTAAAAGCCAAGTCTTTATTTTGGTTGTAAATCGTCAAAGTTTAGAATAAACATGACATAGAACTTTCATTTTACAGGCCTCTGAGGGTCGGACAACCGTCGTGATTGCTCACCGTTTGACCACCATCAGGAATGCTGACGTCATCTACGCCTTTAAAGATGGACAGGTCGTCGAGTTTGGTGATCACGCTGAGTTGATGAAGAGAGACGGGGTCTACAAGCAGCTTGTGACACTGCAGACTCTCGATGGGGCAGGTAGAGATCCTTTTTTCTTTCTTTATCCAAATCTTAAATACTGACAATCTGACCGTCTTTAATTCATAACTGCACTCAACAGTAGTCGTTAGAGTAGTTGCAAATCTTGTTTCTTCTTTCTATAATCAATTCTTAGCACGTTAACATAAGTTAGAAATAAGTTTTGGGTACGCTAGAAATTATCTCGATGTATGTCGACTTATGAATAACTTACAAGCAACGTATGTGACCGTAACGATCGCATAACTTACATACAACTTATGGCCCGCGTATGCGAGACGTATGAGCCATACACTGGCATAATTCGAAAACTTTGTGCATGCACACCATTTTTCGACGACCTCGCCGTACTACGACGTATACCAGCGTGCTTCAGCGTGGTCTTAATTAAAACAAAACGTACCCATGACTTATTCGACGTACGCCAACGTATTCGCCAAATTTGTCATACGTTGGCATACGCTGGCTAAATCGTCAAGCTGTGACAGGGCCATATGGAAAATGTGCAATATGCGTTTTAATAATTTACGTTTGGAATGATGCTTTTAACTCTGCATGCCACAGGGCTAATCCCCATTGTGCCAATCCCCAAATCCCCCGTGCCTGGTTTTTTTGGAGATAATCTAATTAACGCGATGGTTCTATGAATATCGCGTGCGAAACACACAGCACACTACAATGAGCACGAACAATAACTGCTATTACGAATGCGTGCAAACATGCACAAGGCAGTGAAGCAATGGCTCGCACACATGTACACATCACTTTAACGGTAGCGTGCATGCAGCCTTATGGCAAGCTATGAGTTAACTCATAGCCTGCCATAAGGAGAACATTTTGTGACATTATCATTTACACTCTTTTAATCGGAAGTCGTTATGGACCTTAATTCCATCTCACCCTTAACCAGGAGAACCATCTGAGAGCCTTAAAGAGAAGATGGCAAGCATCAGCTCCCCTTCCCGTCAAATATCACGTGACACATCCAGACAGATATCTCGAGAGATGTCCCGCCAAATCTCGAACGCTAGTAGCGGTAAAGGAAGTCAGCTGGAAGAGGTAGTAGTTCCATAATTGTTTTAAAAGAAATCCAATTTCCAAGAGGGGCTGTTGATCAGCTTTTGATAGTACTCTATCAATTTGTAAAAAGAACACGAGTTTCATTAACATTTGTAAATAACGGCATGTATTACAATAAGTTCTTTTACTAGTCGTAAGATATATGAATGGGTGAGATGATAAATCTAAGGTGAAAAATCTGATTATTTGAATGACTTTAAGATGAGAGCCATTACTTATTTCTATGAATAAAAAAATCCAGACGAGATGTATTTATGGTAGATATCACTTTTCAGAGCATTTAAGATTGGTTCACATATTTTCTGACTGCACCTATCATTAACCAACTTTATGTACCGATTCCCAATCAAACATGCACATTTTCCATTTTATTTTCCATGTTATTAATATACATATGTTTTAATCATTTTTTTATATTGATGTAGAATGCAGGAGGAATTCCACAATTTCTAAATCAACAAGAGTAAAAATCAGATAGTTATTCATGCGCTTGATTCAGATGTCTACTCTCAAAGTAGTGTTTATACCCAAAACAGAACTTGAATATTATTAAATTCACCAAATCTGGTTCATCAAGAAACATTAACCAACATCTCTTACATTGGATCAACGTGTAGGATGAAGAAATCGAGGAGGAAGAGGTGGAACGAGCTAGTTATATGGAGATACTGAAGCTAAACAAACCTGAGTGGCCCTACATAGTTGTTGGGACCTTCTTCGCCGGTGTACTGGGAATTGCTATGCCAGCATTTGCTATTCTCTTCAGTGAAGTCGTATCGGTAAGTACACGCCCTGAAATTAGTTATCAAACATTTGTACTTATACTGATGCTGCTGATGGTGCTACTTATAGAAGTAGTACGACTACCACCGCTACTACTACTACTACCTTCACTTGTTCTTCCTTATAAGATACCTCTCGTCCACTATAGTTACCTATGTGCCTCTGCTCTATCATCATCGCTTCTAATGTACCTCTACAACGCATTATCACCATGATCACTATCATCCAGTAGCATCACATTCAACACGTCACCTTTGGATACGACGACCAGAAATTCTGCAATATTTCAACTACATTACCATGATTAGTCCTTCTGCTATGCATCCTATAACTGCTATACCACATAAACGTGTTACATCTTAATTCAAATCAAAATAAAATTAATTTAGTACTACTAATTATATGGGCCGCCACGCGTCCACTATCATTACTTCTACCACAACCACTAGAATCATCAGTCATCACTATTTGTTTTGTTTTACCTGATTGCTAGGATAGCATATGTGTATGCTTGTAACGAAGCAGCCAGGGGGCCGACGGCTTTAAGTCATCTCAAAGGGACTTGGCAATTAGGATTAACGCCTTACCAAAGGGAGCTAGCGCATCGACTTGGTTTCGAACCTGGGACCTCCCGGTTACGAGACCACTGCCACCACCAGGCGCGTACGTAGGATTTTTTCAAGGGGGGGGGGGGTTAACATTTTAAAATCGGGCCGAAAATTTCGCAAGGACTCAGCCAGCCGCTGAATAGGCGGGGGGGGGGGGAGAGGGGTAAGAGGACCTTTTTTTTTTTTTTTTGGTCCCCAAAAAAATCGCAAGGGGGGGGGGGGGGGTAAGAGAACATTTTTTTTTTTTTTTTTTTTTTGGTCTCGAAATTTGAAAATTTTGCTTTTTTCTCCGTTGGGGGGGGGGGGGGGGTAAGGTCAACTTTTTTAGGTCAGCCATTGGTATAATTATTTTTTTTTTTAAATACAAAAAAGGGCGGGGATTTCCTCCAAAATACACACATAAAAAATACCAAAGGGGGGTTCAATCCCCACCCCCCCCCCCCCGCGTACGCGCCTGGCCACCTCTATCACCACCACCGCCACACTTTCATCATCAACTTCGTAGGATAGGGCCTACGACAACCATACCATACACATCAACTCGATTTCAGCTTCCGTGTATGCTAGTGCTATTACTGCTAATACATAAACGTGTTACAACAAAAGTCAGGATCGCAATAAAAAAATTCTTCATACAGGTGTTTAGTCTACCGCCGGACCAGATCAAAGAAGAGGCAACGTTCTGGGGTCTCATGTTCGTGGCCCTGGGTTGCGTCCTATTCGTTGCTCACAGTATGACTGGTATCTGCTTTGCTGTGTCCGGAGAGGACTTAACCCTACGACTCCGAAGAAAAGCATTCTGGACCATCCTAAGACAGGTAACCATTTAGGACACCACTAAAATTAAAATTAAGTCAATTTTTGTTTTGAATGCAGACAAGGGAGGCAAAGTGCTTGGCAGCAGGAGAGAAATATTTTGCCAAAAGATGGTACAAACGACCCGGAGTTCTAAATACTAGGAATATACTTATGAGGTTTATAGGTATTTCCCAACGTATACCAATAGAAGCTAGGGTCCTAAAACTCACATATTTATCAATATCAATTTGGATTTGTCGGCAGAAGCGATCATCGGTTAAATGTTTATCCAGAAATCCCAAAGTACATAATCCAGATTGAACAGGAATGCAATTTCAAAATAAAAAAAGTCTTGTCAACCAAAACTCATGGGAGTTTATTATTACTAATATGTTACCCAGCCTTGCTCCGTCGCCTTGCAAATTTAATCCTTTGATTTAATTATTGTACGCCTCATTCTTGTTTCGAGTCTGCTCAATCTTTCACAAAAGTATATTTCTCATGAACGCTAAGACATTCGTGAAAGATAATCGTACTCCTTGGACATGATGGAAGCAAAAATTTAAAACTGGTTGGACCCACTTATATTTTAAATCATAATTAATTTGTATTTAATGGCATTCACTCGGTTTATTCTGTTTCAGGATATCACTTACTTCGATCAACCTAATCACAGCACTGGTGCACTGGCTACTAGACTCTCATCTGATGCGTCTAACGTCAAAGGGGTAACGTTTTCTTTGAACGTTCTAGTATAGACGCTTTATTATATTGACCCATAAACATTCATTGTTACCTTCATCATTTTTTTGTGTCGAGAAAATTTTGATTTTCTTTAGAGCCTTGTCAGAAGATCGGAAATGAAAAACGTCTTTTGGTTACTTCTTTCACCTTCCTCCGTTGTCAAATTTTGTCCCATGCCTTAAATTAAAAATGATACTCTGTGCTGAACTAATACTTTCAAACCCTTTATTTCCACTAAAAATGGAATAATGGATCTCAAAGACCAAATCAAAATGTGTTTCTTCATCGAATTACATACGTTCAGCTCTGTTTATTTGAGCAGCTATGTACATTAGACCTGCATAGGTAACTTCATGGTACATTTCAATTTACACTTTTAATGTGCATTAATTGAAAGAAAGAAAACCGTAATTGTGAAAGGAGTTTAGATCACTGATCCACGTATTCTAATTCAAAAAGCAGTAGTTTTCTTAATTTGAGATTAAACTCATATACATGTATGACTTATATTTCAGGCGACGGGAGTTCGGCTAAGCACCGTTTTACAGTCTCTGGTGACGATGGCTGCTGCATTGGCTATAGGGTTCATCTTCGGCTGGCAGCTAGCCCTCCTCATCTTCGGTTGTCTTCCGTTGCTATCGGCAATGGGAGCTATTCAGATGAAAGTGTTACAAGGAGCACAGTCCAGAGACAGGGCTCTCATTGAAGAAAGTGGAAAGGTAGGATGATAATGATGATGGTAGGGATTTAGTCCTTGAAATGCTAGAGCGCCGTATGGCAGCCGTGCTAAAGCCAGGGTAATAATCGGGAGCGCCAGGAGGGTCAAATCTGACTGACATGAGCGCTATACAAGAACCCACTATTATTATTATTATTATTATTATTATTATTATAATGATATTGATGTTGATAATGATGATGTGATCGTGATTTAGTCGTTCTTACTAGCTTCGAGTCTTGTATTGGAGTTGGTAATCCAAATGTAAGTGTTGCAAGGACCACAGGGCAGAGTAGGGCTCTCATTTAAAGAGAGTGGAAAGGTAAGATGGGTTAAGGAATTCTCGTGATATGAAGCTTATCATGGGCGTATGGGGGTAGGGGCTGTGGAGTTGCACGCCCCCCCCCCCCCCCCACCATGCTCACCTGAGAATTTGGAATTACCAATATTCGGCCTAATGTCACCTCGTATTTTGGCAGCAAGATGGTCCGGTATTAGTTTCTCTATATATTGTGTCTAATATATTTAGTATATTTTGATGATGAATTATTTACATCGCCCTGATAACAAGAAGTTGCCACCTCCACGATTATGATAAAGTATAAAAATGCCATAACTGAAAAGTTGATAATCGGACAGGAAATACAAAAGCATACTGCTAAAAATCGCACCTGTATGCCTGTGATGATAGTTCTAACGCTATTTACTTCATTAGGATAAACAAAAAAATATTTTCATTCATGTATATCGTATAAATAATGGAATTAATGGATTTGTTTCATTAATAAGATGATGTTCTGTTTTACTTCTATGCTATTTGCAGATAGCTGCAGAATCGATCGAGAATGTACGTACCGTAACAGCTCTTAGTTTGGAAGATAGAATGATCAGGAACTATGCAGAGAAGCTGGAACAACCGTACAAGTATGTTCACGTTATTTACTGTTTATGTTGATTATGTTTCATTCCTTTAAACGTGTATTTTATGTGTACACTGGGAGACCAATGATATCTTACTGGCAACACATAGCAAGTTGAACAAGGGAGCAATGTGTTTGGCATTCAAAACGCATCGACAAAGTTTCAGAGGAACGCGAAGAGAGACGAAATTGGAGACCCTTTTTTGTAATACCTGCCAAACGAACTTTTATATCCCAAAAGATACACGACGACAGGATTGGGGAAGCAGAGGCTCCAATTACCCCCCCCCCCCCCCCCCTAACCAAGCATGGACTGGCCATGGGGAGTTTCGAGAGTTTCACCACGGGCCGCTTGATATTTGGGGTGAAAAATTCAATTCAATTCAATTCAAATGAACATTTATTTTCTTCCAAACAATACAATTTATAAGTAGGAACATAAATATAATTAAAGAAGGCGCGAAACCCAAGTTAATTTCAGTCCCAGTCCGCTCTTTCCCTTTTATTTGTCTATTTGCCAGGAAAGTTTATCGCTTTGAAAACAGCTAACCCTAATTTCTAAAAGTTCAAATTAATTCATGACGGCTCTCAACCCTTTTAATTTGTAATTAATTAACTAGTTTCAGAGATCTTTTATATTTTGAATGAGGGGGGGGGGGCTCGGGTGGCTGCCGGATCAAAGATGGCAATGGTTGCCGAAAATTAAACAACAAAGGACACAGCTTTCAAAACCCACATTTTGCGGTGACAGACAATATTTAATCGGTTATTGTGACAAACTCACACGCCTTCTTGGACCGCCCCTGTGAACATTCTTATTTCCAACAGTGCTTCTGGCCCATGCTTCGTCTCCAGACAAGGAAAGATGGACATTCAGATGTCTCACAAGGAATTATCTTCTTCATCTTTTCTACCTACGCCACATATTTTAGATTCATCGGTTCATATTCAATTTACGCTAGTATAACTTGCAAAATTCATCCTTAAACAAGAAAACCCAGACTCATTGGCAAGAATGTTCCACCCTCTCACTTCCCCAGACAAGGGAACGTCAACAGTCAGATGGTAGGCTCGGGCTTCGGGCGTCTCACAAGGAATTATCTTCTTCATTTATGCCGCATCATTTTAGTTTCAGTGGTTACAGATTCAACATAGCAATTTCTACCTTGCAAGGTTAAAAAATTAGCCTTCAACACGAGAAATCAGGCCTACTGCAATTTTTTAAAACTCCTGCTTCTTCCATGTCTCCAGACAAGGAAAGATCAACAGTCAGATGATAGGCTTGGGCTTTGGTGTATCCCAAGGAATGATCTTCTTCATCTATGCCGCATCATTCCGGCTCGGAGGGTATCTGGTGTCCATTGGCGAGATGAGCGGTGATGATGTTTTCAAGTGAGTTTGTGATGCGAGAGTAATGTAAACTCAATTCAGAGAGATATATTTATAGAGAAATATATAAGGTTATAATGCAGGTGGACATTGCTTTAGAGTGATTATTTATTTGTAAGTGTGTGTGTGGGTGGGTGGGAGCGTGCATACGTGCATACGTGCATTTGTGCATATATAGTGTAGATAGATTAACATGATTAAGGCAGATTGACAGATAAATGAATAGTAGACATAAGTAAAGACAGATGGAGGTTATATGAATAATGTATGCATGCGTGTGTGTGTGTGTATGCGTGCGTGCGTGTGCGTGTGTGTGCGTGTGTGGGGATATTTGGGTGGGTGGTGGTGCGTGGGTGTGTGTATGTGCTTTCGTATAATATTCACGTGTGAAGAAAAATCGAGGTAGATGAAGAGCTTAATTCCAAAAGGAGCTAAATCCACTTTTGATGAAAATTGAATTATTGATATCAGAACATTGTTCACCTAATGTACCTGTATTTCAACAAAATTATTTATCTAAATTTTGGGAGCAATTATGACAAAATGCACCTTCTAATATCACTTTTTCATAGACACCTGTACAAAATCTGGGAAATAATTTCTTTTTTTCTCCTAATTTACAAAAATTGGATTTAGCCCCTTTTGGAATTATTTTGGTGTCCTTTGTCCTTAATGATTTCATTAGGTCAGCTTGTCTTTGATTTCTATAGTATGATTGGCATTGGTCTAATGTGGTGCTTTCTTTTCACGATCTTCTCCTTACCATTGAATTATAATCATTCTCTGATGTCACAAGCTGAATTTTAAGTGCGTATGCATTAACACTTTCAGGTCAGCCGCATGTGTTTATTTATCTAATGATCTATTTTTTTCTTTCATAAATTTGTTTCCAATCGTCAGGGTGATCTTTGGTGTGGCCTTTGCTGGTATCTCACTTGGTCGGGCCATGGCTCTTCTCCCAGACTACGCCAAGGCTCGCCATTCTGCAGAACTTATGCTTCATCTCTTCGCCACCAAGCCACTTATTGATAACTACTCCATTGACGGAGACAAACCGGTAAACTTTATTTTCTGTTTAGTTTGAGCAGGGAGGTGAGCCAGTCTTGTGTGGACCTACTTTACCCCCCTCCTCTCCTGAAAAAAATTAATAGATTCCGTTACTCTTTTCATATGAATTTGAGGTAATCTTCTTTAGGTATACTGTATACCCAGCGTTAGTTTTCACTAACTACGTAATTATTATGTTGTAAGTCAGATGTTCTCTTTTCCTTGGACAAAATATTTTCAGAACTGTACCGCCTCCTTTTAACTCACCTGGACATGCCTTAATTTGTAGAAGGAGTCATCCTTTTCTTTTCATATTGAACTTCTTTCCTCCCTCCCTCTCTTGTTATATCTCTTTCACTCTATCTGTTTTTCTATCTCTTTCTCTTTCACTCTGTCTGTCTCTTTGTCTGTATGTATGTCTGTCTCTGTCTTTGTCTGTCCCTCTCTCTCTTTCTCTCTCTCTCACTCTCTCTCTCTCCCTATCACTGTCTCTTTGCCTATTGTTTCGCCATTCCTGTTTAGAGGGCATGTGCGTTCGGGCTCTTCATAGCTATGCCCCTAACTTTGGGTGCGAGGCCATCTCTGAACAATTAAACTACTAATACTTTAGATTAATGATACATAATTGGCCTATTCATCTCGATGACATAATTTGCATATTCCATTCTCCATCCTAAACAAACAGGAACAAGTGGAGGGCAAGATCGAGTACAGCGGTCTCAAGTTCGCTTACCCTACGAGATCAGACATCACCATCCTCAAGGGACTCGATCTAACCATCAAACCAGGCCAGACTGTAGCCCTGGTAGGGGAGAGTGGGTGTGGTAAAAGTACTCTGGTATCACTCCTCGAGAGATTCTATGATCCTGAACAAGGCTCAGTGGTAAGACATCAAAGTGATTCTACTTGTAACATTAGATTAGATTACCTTGTAGATCAGTTTAGATTAGATAAGGATCAAACAAGACCAGACTGTAGCCCTCGTATAAGAGAGTGGGTGTGGTAAGAGTACTCATGTTCACTTCTAGAGAGATTCTATGATCCTGAACAAGGCTCAGTGGTAAGATATTAAAATGATTCCTCTCCTAATAATAGATTAGATTAGATAACAATAGATTAGGATCAAACCAGGCCAGATTGTAGCCATGGCAGGAGAGATTGACTGTGGTAAGATCGATACCCTTGAATCACTCATAGATTCTGGTCAGGGTTCTGTGGTAAGACATCAAAGTGATTCTACTCGTAACATTAGATTAAATTAGATTAGATTAGGATCAAACCAGGTCAGACTATATCACTGGTAGGAAAGTGTGGCCGTAGTAAGAGAACTCTGGTATCACTCCTAGAGGGATTCTACGATTCTGGACAAGGATCAGTGGTAAGACATCAAACAAATTCCACCCTACAAACATCCATGTAGATCTTTACTATTTAAAACGTTATATTGTCAATCTTGCAGGAACTGTCTGTGAATTTTCAAAAGTTGTTTTTTAAAGTTAACTATGCTCAAACTCATGAGAGTGAGTGTAGCAAAATGCCAATTGTTATGAATGTGTCACCTCTGGGAATCCCTTAAATCTAGGGCGAGGGAGGATCGAGAGAAAATTAGGGGTACTATATATTCGAAATTCAAATTAACTATGCTATATATGGGAGCGTTTCATTAATATCGCTTGTCATAGTGGCTCTACATTCCCTTCCCTTTTTTCTCGTATATGAATTAACAAATGCAAGAAAGACATTATATTATCAGTAGAAGTTCATTATAAAACAATCAAGCTGCTCTTTTTAGAACAGAATTATTATTTGCCAAGAAAAAGGCCTTCTCTTAGATCACCAAGAAACGCGTGGGTTAGTTATCTTCTTTTGTTTGTTGGCAAACGTCTCTTTCGGTACACTTGTCGTCAACACCCTCCGATATTTCTTTAGCGACACCCAAGTCATCTCCTTAAAAGGAATATTGAATAAATCATCGCAAATATCTTTCTTTTTTATCAGAATGTTGATGGTAAGTCAGTGAAAGACCTCAACATCCAGTGGCTTCGAGCAAACATGGCGATCGTGAGTCAAGAACCAATCCTCTTTGCCTGTTCTATCGGAGACAACATCCAATATGGCGTTGAAAAGCCAATGGACATGGCGAGTATTGAGAAAGTCGCCAAGATGGCCAACATCCATGACTTTATTTCTTCTCTTCCTCTAGTAAGTACCACAGCGACATTATGTTGGTGCTTTTGAACCATTTTGTATGTCCGTCTTTATAGTAGCTCTTCTCTGTTGTCCTTGTTTCCTTCTCCCTTTATATCATTGATCTATCTTCTTCCCACTTTCTTCTCCTTTGCGTTTCATCTTTAAGTATTTGTCTTTCCTTTTCTTCATGATTGTTATCTTTGTCACAAGCGCGTAGCTAGGATTTAATTTTAGCGGTAGTGAGCACGCTAAGCGTGATCCTTAGGGGTTGGGTACAGGGAGGGGGAGTTTACCCCCTCCCGCGCGAAGCGCGAAAGCTTTGACGTTTCTTCAAATTATTAGAGAAAGATGACGATTCGTTGTACCGTTCTCGACTCTTAATCCTTGTCTGGATTCAGCTCCCCCCCCCCCTCTCTCTCGCGCAAAGCGCTGAAGCTTTGACCTTTCATTAAATTATTAGAGAAAGAAGACGCTAATTCGTTGTACCGTTCTCGACTTTTAATCCTTGTATGAATTCAGTTCCCCCCCCCTCCCGCGCGAAAGCTTTGACGTTTCAATAAATGTATCATAAGAGAAAGAAGACGATTCGTTGTACCGTTCTCGACTCTTTTCTTTGTCTGCTCCTTTTTCTTCCTAATCCTTTCCCTTTTTTCCCTGCTCTCTCTCTCGCTCTCTTTTTTTGGCAGGCGTTTTTTTTTTTTTTTTTTTTGGGGGGGGGGGGGGGGCGACGGGCGACCGCCCCCACCTCCCCACCTCCCCACCTCCCCCCCCCCCCTCCCCCGGCTACGCGCCTGCTTTGTCATCTATATTACCTTTACTACAATATGTCCTCTGTTTCATATTCCTGCATGGTCTTTTTATCAAACGAGCAAGTTTGTTTGCTATATTCTTGCGTAACGATGATCATTCTCTCTTATTTTGTGTCTCCATTTGTGGTGACATATTTATCATGCACTAACGAAGTGGTGCAAAATCTAAAAATGTTATTAAACAAACTTGTGTTTTTAGTCTACTTCAAATACACACGGGATCATCATTCTCTTGTTATGCAAGTTTACGTGTATGATACAGGTGCTCAAACATTCGGGAGTGGCATATATACACTCATGTCCCACAAATTACGACTATGGTATATTGGCAGGCTGGGTAGAACTGATAAGCAATAACCAAATGTTATATTGTTCCATGTTCAGGGTTATGACACGCTAGTGGGAGAAAAAGGAACCCAGCTATCTGGTGGTCAGAAGCAAAGAGTGGCCATCGCCAGAGCTATGGCTAGAAATCCTCGTATCCTCCTCCTGGATGAAGCTACCTCAGCACTGGATACAGAGAGCGAAAGGGTAAAGAATCATTACATTCTTGGTAGAAATGAACGTTTATGGGTTGACATTGCTGCTCGGTAGGTAATCTGGGACCTGTTTCGCAAAGCCTTTTTTCAATGACAAATGACAAATATCAGTGACAAATCTGCCGATAACCAATCAGAAGCAAGGATTTCAGTAGCTTGTAACAACAACTGTCATTTGGCACTGATGACAAGTTTTGTGAAACACCCCCCCCCCCCCCCCAGTTGTTGCATAAACCATAGCCTGCGGGATTTGGGTGGTTCCTCTACTGAGCCCAATGGGGAAGACAGAATTCAGGAGTCAATGGGTTGACTATGTTATTCCATTTATCAATGCAGCCTGACGCAATTGTTACCTCTTGAAGTCATTAGGGACTTGTAGATTTGCACGAAGACAACGTGGATTGTTACGATCGACGTCCTTTTAATGCACTGCCTTGAATGGACGTCACACGTATCAGTCCGCGCAAATCTAAAAGTCTCTAATATCTCTTGAAGTCTGACGCAATTGTTACCTCTTGGAGTCATTTCTCTTGAAGTCATGGTAATGCTGTAAATCAGATTACTACCTGATAGACTACTATCCCTGTAATCTTAGATATTCATAATCCAATTAAGAACAAAACAACAAAGGAAGTGCGAATTGATACCTGCAATAATTAAAAACAAAATTTAATCATAAGATTTAAAGGTCATCAATCAATCAATCTCTTCCTATGTTTTCCAGGTCGTCCAAGCAGCCCTCGACAACGCCATGAAAGACCGGACATCGATCGTCATCGCCCACCGTCTCTCCACCATCCGGAACGCTGACGTCATCGCCGTCATCAGAGATGGAGTCGTGGTCGAGAGCGGGAGCCATCAGGAGCTCCTTAAGAAGAGGGGGCACTATTTTACGCTCACAGGAGGGCTAGTCGTTGATGACGTCAACGAGAAGAAAGCTATAAAGTCGGGATAGAATATATACCCCACCCCCCCCCCCCCCAAAACAAAACAAAAAATAGTTCAATGTAACAGATGTACTTTAGAAGAGGGGCACTACTTTATGCTCACTGTGGGACTTGTTGTTGATGACGCTTATCTGTAGAATCCTATAAAATAACGATAGCAAAAGTCACAGGGCATAATCATAAAGAAAACTCTACCTATTAACTATAGCTCTCTGTATTAAAGAGAGATTTCATGAAGAAGATGGACCACCCTTTTACGCTCACTGTGGGACTAGTTATTGGTAATGCAGTGCTTATCAGTAGTAAAAAAAAAAAAAAAAAAAAGTTTACACTTAGAAAATTGCTAATCATTTTAAAAATCATCTATGAAAAGTAAATTATTATACATCTTATGAAAATGTGTTTTATCCCAAATCATCTGGTAACATTTTTGTGTGGTATTTGTTCACGCTCGAATAAACAGGAGGCATTGTTTGCGAGAGTGCAACAATCAACTTGCGCCAAAGTTGCTTATGTGATGTTTGAATAAAACAGTCGGGATTTGGGTATTAATTCGGTCTTTGCAGATCTAAATAACATCCCTAACAAAATTAATCATGGCACACATATCAAACATCGAATATCACATACCAACTTGGCAGGCGCGGATCCAGGATTTTCCAATAGGGGGGGCCGGAAGTTTGAAAATTGCGCCGACCGTTTTTTTCAAGGTCTTATTAGAAGCACCATACCATTACAATTTTTGACATTTTCATCGGGGGGGGGGGGCTATAGCCTCTTATCCGAAAAAGTAACTTTCTGGTTTCAAAATTCGGCTAGTGAGCGAAGCGAGCGAGCAACAATTTGAGCAAAATATGTATTTTGTGAAAGTGTTATTTATAACCAAAATAAACGAGAAAAGATATCAAAAAATCATATGCGGGTAGCTCGCTAACCCCCCCCCCCCCCCCCAATGACGCGCGAAGCGCGGAAGCTTTGACCTTTCATTAATTATTAGAGAAAGAAGACGATTTGTTGTACCATTCTCGACTCTTAATCCTTCTCTGAATTCAGTTTTCCACCTCCCGCGCAAAGCGCGGAAGCTTTGACATTTTATAGTTTAATGAAATTATTAGAGAAAAAGATGATTTGTTGTTCCATTCTCGACTCTTAATCCTTTTCTGAATTTAGTTTACCCCCTCCCGCGCAAAGCGCAGAAGCTTTGACGTTTAATTAAATTATAAGGAAAAGGGGACGATTCTTTGTACCATTCTCGACTCTTAATCCTTGTCTGAATTGAGTTCCCGTCCCCCCCCCCCCTCCCGCGCGTAGCGCGGAAGCTTTGACGTTTAATTAAATTATAAGGAAAAGGGGACGATTCTTTGTACCATTCTCGACGCTTAATCCTTGTCTGAATTGAGTTCCCGTCCCCCCCCCCCCTCCCGCGCGTAGCGCGGAAGCTTTGACGTTTAATTAAATTAAAAGGAAAAGGGGACGATTCTTTGTACCATTCTCGACTCTTAATCCTTGTCTGAATTGAGTTCCCGTCCCCCCCACCCTTCCGCGCGTAGCGCGGAAGCTTTGACGTTTAATTAAATTAGATTTTGCAATGTTGAATGCTGAAATTATGCATTCTAAAAAATCCCTAAGTCCGATATGTACGTTCTTTCCGCTATATTTATTTCTAGCTATATTTCTAAATTTCCTGGAAGACTTGTCCCCATATCGGGCCCAGGATCGCCGCCCCTGTCCATGATTACTACCAACATGAGTTCTAATACAATCACAAGCGAGTCGATACGAGCTGAATCCAAATGAAGGGCAAAATAAGAGTTGTGAAGCGGCCCTACCGTTAATTTAAAATTTGACTGTTGAGTATATAACTTCTATTTAAAAGACATCCAAAATATTGTGCCCTTTTCAAATTTCTCACTAAAGAGTGATGACCGCAGGGGCTGTTCTTAACGTTCAACTTTGAATCCGCGGCTCGAGATTCTATGCGGCCGGCCGGCGGCCCGGCCCCCCTCTATTCAATAACGTTTGCCAATGAGCCTTCTGGAATGTCCCCTAATCTCCCGATTACAGTTTTCCCATATTTGTCGTTACTGTCACTTAGCGCCATTTCCTTGCCTTTCCCCCTTTCTCACCGACTTTTCTTGTCCCCCCCCCCCCCCCCCCCCCCCCCCCTCACCCTCTCAGTGTTATCTAGGGTACGCACATGTATGTTCCCTCTCTTTGAAAGCACCCCTCTGTCTCCGGTGTGTAAAGTCAGTACGGGCCGGATTTTCGTGTATTGCGGGCCGGACTTTGTTTCGTGAAAAGTAACTCTTTATCGGAAATTTAGGGAACACAAATTCGGTCCCTCCGACCCCGGAGTTGGAGGGAGGGGGGGGGGGGGCTTTTATTTATCTTTTCTCTTCTATTTTCTTTTCTCTTCTTTTTTCCTTTCTCTTCTCCTTTCTTTTCTCTTCTCCTTTTTTTCTCCTCTTCTCCTTTCTTTTTTTCTCTTCTTTTCTTCCTCTTTTTTTCTTCCTTTTTTTTGCGCCGCCAATAGGGGGGGCCGCGGCCGTTTCGGCCCCCCCTGGATCCGCCACTGCCAACGAACATTTGTGCGCGTGTGTGTGGGTGTGTGTCACTTTGCCCTTTGTAAAAAGCATATGCAATGCACTTCATTTGATACATTCAATTCATTCTCTCACTCCACTAATCCCAACATAATACATACTGTAGGCATCACTTTGGCGCAAGTCGATTTTTGCACTCTCGCAAACAATGCTTCCTGTTCTTCCAAGCGTAAACACATACCACACAAAAATGATATCAAATGATCTGGGGTAAAACAATCTTTCATAAGATGTATAATAATTTACTGTTCATAGATGATTTTAAAAATAATTAGCAATTTTCTAGGGTTTTTTTTTAGTCACACGGTAGAACCATGATAGAAGAAAGTATAGAAGCATAAGCGATACCTTGGAATTGTCCTAAATAAATTAAATACGTTCTGGGATAGAAAACTCTTTGCAACAGCGCTACTTAAGAAGAAGGGGTACAACTTTACGCTCACTGGGAAACTTGTCGTTGATGGCACGGTTTGAAAGAAGCTTTTACAATCATAACAGAAGTTCCAGGGCATTCCCATAGCAACAAATAAATACAAGTATTAACTATAAATATTGTAACAAAGCTACTTAAGCTAGGAGGGGGAGTATCATTGTACGCCCACTAAGGAATTTTAAATAAAAACAAATTATAGTTGATCAAGGTGATCAATCAAACAATCAAATCGTAGTGATAAAAGAAGTCCCAGAGCACACTCATAGGAAAAATTTACAGTTTATTTATAAAAGATACTTTAAGAAGAGAGGGCACTTTTTAGCGCTTCCTGGAAGACTAGTTATTTAAAATTGATGATGCTGATCAGAAGAAACCTATAGAATCATGATAAAAGAGAGTATTAGGACATACTCCCAGTCGTCAAACTACTTATAAGTTGTTTGTATAACCTATCCCATAAATCAGTGAAGTGTGCTTTTTCTCATTGCAATTTACTACATGTAGATATGGTATCATGATGTTCTAATTACAAGCAGACTGCCCCGCCACCTGAATAAAGGCTCGTTGAAATATGACGCGGGAAATCTGCAAGGGTTTTTATTCAAGACGACGTAAAGAGTGATAAGCTTCACATTTCTGGGGGGGGGGGGTGTTTCACGAAGATCCTTAGTTGAACTTATCTTTAAGTTGGACTTAATAATTATGGAGAGCCATTTGTAGCCTTTAAATCAAATATAGTCAAAAGCAAAAATTCAAGTATTTTATACTTTTCATAAATTCCACATCAAGAACATGAAATCTCCTTTATAATAGAACATATGAATGATTTAAATCAACATTTTATGCCTTTTAAAATAACTTTTACAAAATATTTTCAAAGACGCTAACGGACTTCCATAATTGTTAAAGGTAAAGACCAGTTATGGTCATGCGATTGCATTGTGAAAGAAACGTTGTGGAATCGATCAGAAAAGGTTGATCATCTAGCATCTAGCATCTGCGAGGTTCTGGAATCATCAAAATGATAAGAAATTTGGCCCATTCTTCGTAAAGTTACAAGCACTATACACAGAAAGATGTATATGGGACTACCCTATATCTCTCACAGACCATGAGAGAAACAAATTTACCAAATATATGAATTAGTAGGCGGTTTCCCGGCAAATTTTTTATCATCATGTATTAGTCAAAACATATTCTTTCACATGATTGGTAATGAGAGCTTCCATTTCATTTTTTGAAATTGGGGCGTTTCCAATACTGGTCTTTACCTTTAAGTCCAAGTTAGAGATAAGTTAAACGTTGGATCTTTGTGATCTTGAACAGATCTTATAACAGTTACAGAGCTTATTGAATACTGTAAAGCTCACGTCCATTGTTGAGCGCAATTGCCATTCATTTATACCGCCATAATTATATACGAGCCTTAATACGTGACGATCGCCAGAGTATTGGTATTTTTATTTTATTATTATTGGGGGGGGGGGGGTTGCAGCTCCCTGGTGCCACCATTCCCTCACTGTGTGTCGAGTCATGATGAATATTCATAATCAATTTGAATTTCATTTTCATGTAATGGGATTCTTTAAAACTCAATATCAGCGCGCTCTAGAAGTGATTCCCCCGATTTTTCGATATATTTATAATGTACTGATGATGAGTAAAGGCAAACTTTGTCGGTATTTCGGTTAACGTTAAAATTTAGAGCTGTATGTTATTGTTGATATGATTAAAGTGGACACCTTAATTATCCAAGGAGCCTGGTGGTTGGTGAGATCGATATTGGATCAACTTTACGTCTAATTATTTCATTGAAATTAAATTGTAAGATGTTATATTCTGCCATACAAATGTGCAATTAATGATTGTTTTAGGAAAAATCTAAAGGAAGGAATATTTGCCTTCGTATTTTCACTTGTTTGGACACTTCATCATACCTCTTCCTTTTGTCAATTAGGGTGCTCATAGACAGTGTTTGTAAAGTACATTATATTTGTGAAATTTACTGTACGATTTACTGTTATTCTTAAGGTTTTCCTGCTTCTAATTGAATTGCCTTTTATAAATCGACCATTTATATCATAATAAAGATAGAGTTCAAACAACTTCACTTAATTTAAAGGTTTCAATCTTGTCAAAGTTTATTATTCATGACATTCTTTTTATTGTAAAGAGAGTGATGGGGAGAGGCAGGGGGAGTGGAAGACACACATAGAGAGAGAGAGAGAGAGAGGAGAGAGAGAGAGAGAGAGAGAGATTGCAAGAAATGGAGCAGAAATATACAGAGTACCAAACTAACATTGTTAAAATTTGTAGGATTTGGGTAACGTAATTTCAAATTTGGCTAAAATGAGATCAAACTGACCAACACATTTTTTTCCATTCCCCTTTCATTCCCTTGTCCCTCTAATTCTCTCTCCCTTACCGCTTACTAGTCTTGCTCTAGCTGCCTCAGGATCCCCCTTCTCCTTCCACTCTTTCTTTTCTCCTCATCCTCCTTTCTTTTTCTCTCTTTTACATCTTTTATATAATACACAAATCTCCCCTTTTCACGTATTGAAATATGTCATAGAATTTCATATAACCTAGAACTTTTGTTTTCCTAATTTTTAATCCAGTATGAATCGTTCAAATAAACAAATGAATAAATCTTTATCATTATCATGACTACATCTTTTCAAATGATGTGGGGTTTATTCATAGATACTACACTTTTTAGTAGGATCGAAGGGCAAAGGAAAGTGATATTTACGACACTTTCATATGCAACAATTGGTACTTGACCCCTGCCTCCCCCTCCCTCTCCCCCTCCCCCTGTAATTAAAACATCATTATAATCAGGATGAATTTGTGTTAAAAGTAGTATACTTTATTTGACCGGTACTATCGACTGTTCACATAAAATGTGATCTACAACAGGTAAACAAAATATATATATATATGAATACTTCATTTTACTATGGGGTGATGAATACAATAATAGGTGACTACTTATTGCATGAAAGCAAAAGACTGGAATATGAAACACACATTTAAAAGGTCAGGAGAGGTGCAGGATTATCGTTAGGGGAAGCAGAGGGCGGGTTTCTGTCTTGTTACGGCGTGAAGAACAGTAGGAGGCGTACCAAAATTTCTTAAATGAGAAATGCGCCTCCCTGCCATCATTTTTTTGCCCCAGAGGGCTCTTAAACTTCGATCCTACAAATCTGATAACCATTTCTTCTTTGGTAGTCAATTCATGTTCTGACCCGTGCACTCCCCCTTTTTTTTATCAAGAATCCTTAAGCCATCCTTGAGACTTGGGATATAATGGTGAGACGCAAGATTTAGTGCAATTAGAGGGGATTTTGTGGGTAACAACCTTTCCCCACCACCTTGCTGATAAACAAAGAAAAGTGATACTTTCTTTTTAAGATGGGCTACGAATGCCCCTGCATATATTATACAAATATAGGAAATGTCATGATAACAAAAATGTATATCTTACAATAAAATGCATATGATTATAGAGATAAAATGATAATGAAAAAATGTTGATATGAACGTAAAACTAAATGTATCCTGCATTCTGTTACATCGAAATGTGAACATGTTCAGTAAAATAAAACTATTATATATTTTTTTATCAAATGCAAACATAATTTGCTAAAGGCTACAGGTGGTATTGAAGAAACCAAATCACCAATTTCACTATTGATTAATACATCTCTATCGCTATCAATAAAAGATCATTATGTGCCATATATGCATAAACACTTTCTGTAAAAGATAATACAACTGATGATTAAGATAACATGCTTAATAATGAACTCTTTTTAATAATGAAAAACATAGGATTAATGCCACCAAAATTGCCAACATGAGCCCCGAAAAAAAAGCTATTTATATTTTGCCGTGAAAATTATACAAATTTTTCATGACATCATTTGGAAAAGCTACACACTTTTTATCATATCGACTCAAAGCTGATTTGAATTCCATCAATTCTATGAATAATTTAAATATTTACATGGGTACTACATGTATCATATATATACACAGAAAATGGGAAAATCTGACTTTGGTACCAAATTGACAAGGTTATGCTACGATGCACACCCAAAAATATTAAGTAAACACGTGTGGAATAGAGAGTGAGTCCAAAAAAAAGTTTACACCTAGAAAATTGCTAATTATTTAAAAAATCATCGATGAACATTAAACTGTGTCTTATGAACGAGTGTTTTATCCCAAATCATTTGGTACCATTTTTGTGTGGTATTTGTTCACGCTTGGATGAACAGGTGGAATATCACACAAAAATGGTGCCAAATGATTTGGGATTAAACACTCTTTCATAAGATGTATCATAATTTACTGTTCATAGATGATTTTACAAATAATTAGCAATTTTCTAGGTGTAAACTTTTTTTTTGATTCACACGGTAGAGGCAATTTAACTCGGCAAAAGTAATCTCAAGTTAAGAAGAGAAAAATGCATCGTTGCACCAGTCTTTAAAAAACACTTCTCAAAGATATCTGCATTAACTACCATTAAACACAATATGACTTTTGTTCCATTCCATAATGAGGTTGTCATTGTCAGTTTTATCTTTACAAGATACCATGAATAAAATATCACAAAAGAGCCGGTAGTTAATGTATCTGCGACAACAAATATTGTTGATGTGTTAGTGCATGTGTGGGGGAGTTATCATTTATCATTTATCCCGTCATGCACTCACGGTGACACACACGTACAGTTCAGTCGCAACAAAATGAAATAAACAATATCATAAGGCACTGTTATTTCCAGATACTAACCTCGAAAATACTTTGGTATGCGCTATGCTTTACAATGATGTATAGGTTACATTACATCATTCACAGAAAGAGGTAGAGAAAGTAAAGTAGAGGCCCGCTTAAACTTTGAAGTTCCTCTTACTCAAATTCACCTGATTGCAAGCGTACAAAGAATAAAGAAAAGAGAAAGCAGTATCCTATTTGTTTATGCATAAGAATCCTCCATTTTCGTCTCGATGCATAGATGTACAATTCACGAAAGCACTTGTGACATTGAAACAGAAGTCAATTGTTATAACCCAATGTCAAAAGATGTGCAAGACTAGAAAGATACACAAGACTCGAGAGAAAAAGGCCAGAGAATGTATAAAATGGTATGTAATTTTTCAGGGGGATCCCCCAACGAGAGGGGTTAAGTGGAATAGCAAAACGTATTATAGGCACCTCAGTGTTCTATAACGACATGCTCACAACAAATACAATCAGTGCTACGATGGTTACGATTCCACTATCTCTTAGAATGATAAATATACAAGATAATGTTTATAAACTTTAGTAAGAATACAAAAACGCTCCTGATTTACACGTTTGGCCATTCAATAGTTTTTTTGGAATTTGACCCGTAAATCAATCATTCCATATCTGACTCTACGATTTGATCATTTAACACAACTTCTGCAACCAGCACCTACTGAGAGGTATTTGGTCAGCATTTCAAGACTCCTGGTTTGAATCTGTATTAGTTTCCGAAAGACAATCTCCGCTTTTGCCTAGGCCATTCGTCTATTCAGATTCCACATCAATCTTGCCACCGGTCAACGTAAAGTAGTGTCCCTTGCTTTGGAGAAGTTCCTGGTGGCTACCGCTCTCGACGACCACTCCCTCTCTGATTACAGCAATGGTGTCAGCGTTCTGGATGGTGGAGAGACGGTGGGCAATGACGATGGATGTTCGGCCCTGCATGGCATTGTCAAGGGCTGCCTGGACAACCTAGATTGATAGGAAGAGAACATAACGGTTGAAGAGGGAGAAAGAGAGGAACAGGGGGGCGTTTCACAAAACTTGTCATCAGTGACGAATGACAGTTTTTGTTATAAGCTACTGAAATCCTTGCTTCTGATTGGTTATCAACAGATTTGTCACTGATTTTTGTAATTTGTCATTAAATAAAAGGCTTTGTGAAACGGGTCCCAGGAGGAAAGAAGGACAGAACTGCCTGTGTTCAGAGCACTGACAAATGTCTCCACAATATCTAGGATGGCATTCATAAGATTATTACAGGAATATTACCAGATTACTTAATGTAATTTCATGATGTAACAAGGTGTACTGCACATATTTTGAACACACATTGAACCACACACCGAGCCACCTTAAAAAATAGAGAGCACTCCACCACACACATACGATGAAACATTGCGTAATTTACAAAAAAAATTATCAAAATATTTGTTGTCATGGATACATTTACTATCAGCTCTTTAGGGATATTTTGTTCCTAATATGCAACTCGGGATATCAGTGCAAGATAATCTTTCATTATTTGGGAATTCAGATCTGAAAATAAGACGCAATGGTCAATGCAGGATAAGGATCCCCATAATCCTTGGTTCTTGCTAAATTTTGTGCCAGACAGTCTTTTAGAGACAAGTGGATAAATTTAAACCCATCATCTTCAAATGACATAACTTCTGTCATAATTTACCAGCAAGAAAATATCTACCAAGCAGCAAAATTACTACCAAGAATTTGCATGATTCTTACCTTTTCGCTCTCTGTATCAAGTGCTGAGGTAGCTTCATCCAGGAGTAGGATACGAGGATTTCTAGCCATAGCTCTGGCGATGGCTACTCTCTGCTTCTGACCACCGGACAGCTGGGCTCCTTTCTCTCCTACAAGAGTATCATATCCCTAAGAAAATAAGAACAAAACGATACTAGATTAACAAAGTTACACTCCCTGCCGAGTTAGTAATGCCATCGCCAAAAGCCAGGGTAATCATGAGAATATCATGAGATGGATAACTTCAAATAAGTGCTTCTATTAAAAATTCAATCTTAAAGAAGGAGAGAGTTACTTAGAGAGATAAATTTAAGAGAAATTATCATTGTTATTCAAGAAATAATAGCAAAGGAAGCTTGTTCTTCAAATTAACTCATTAGCAAGAAAAAAACAAAGAAAAAGGAGAGGAAAAGAAGGTGATGGAGAAAAATATTTACAAAAAATTGAAGGAGGTAACAGGAGGGGGAAAGGGGGACAAGGAGATAAATAGGTGCCACTGTGTTGCCGCCCTCTTGATTCAGGATTATGCTTATTCATTGATGTATGACCTTCGACCTTTTCCTGTCAGCCACTTGTCGGCAGTGCCAGTAATGATGAAGTCATTGGTTTATGAAACGGTTTGTAAACTGTTAATATATAGTGAATGCTCCCCAGGGAGTGGAGAATGTGCATACATGGTGTGCGAGTAAGCCTGAATCAGAAGACTGGGTAATAATATATACTGTGTCTAGGAACAAAGTATTTGGCGCGTTATAAATGTGATGTATTAGTATTATAGTGGTTCATTATAGTCACGGTGGCAGCGGTGGGATCGATAGGCGAAAAAAAGTGTCGTAGTCGAGATTTTAAGCACTTGACTGGTGATACGAAGGGTGTGGGTTCAATCCCCATATCAACAATGTTCTTAAGCATGGGATTTCTTATTATATACATTGGGCAGCTCCACCCAGGTGTCCATTGTGTTAATTGTGTACTCAGTAGGATGCAAACATCATCAGAGTTTGCTCAGAATTGTGAGTATCTGTAAGATGGCGGTTGGCTGGAATGTTCACCAGGGAGAAGAGAATGTGCACAGGCAAGCGTGAATATGTTGTCTGAGGTAATAGCATCTCAGTAAAGCACCTTTACACTTTGTAGATGAATTAACCACTATATAAATGCTAAACAATATTTTTGCTAAATATCAAAAGGAAACAGACAGGAAGGGTAAATCATGGCTACTAGCCAAAAGAAAAGACTGTTATTGCAATACTTACAAGAGGAAGAGAAGCGATGAAATCATGAATGTTGGCCATCTTGGCGACATTCTCAATAGCCGCTTGTTCCATTGGCGTTTCGACACCATATTGGATGTTGTCTCCGATAGAACAGGCAAAGAGGATTGGTTCTTGGCTCACAATCGCCATGTTTGCTCGCAGCCACTGGATGTTGATGTCTTTTACAGGCGTCCCATCGAGAGCCTTTGTGTAGTGGGAAAAAAAAGGTTGTAGTAGATTAATCTATCCTCTTTTTGTTTTATTAAAAAAACAGTTCATTCATTGGTCTTGAGATTTACAGGCCATGCTTAATAATTACTCCAGAAAATTGTGAGATTATTCAATCAAAATTTATGGGGCAATATTTTTTCACTATTAACCTCATCAATACAGTTTTTGATCGTAATTGTAATCTTTATTTATTTATTTATTTATTTATTTCTGGTATTTATACAGGGTGGCACATATCACCTATTTGGTGGTCTTCCATGAGGCCCTGTTTGGTAATAATAGAAACAAATAACAGCATCAAAAACAAAATATATAAATACACAAGCATATAAACAGGTAAAATACAAATTAATTGGTATCCCCTTGAAATATATATTTACTCTTTGATCCCTTAGTCACTTCAAATTTGTTTTCATTTCTATATATCTGATTTTTGAATAGCCACAACAATTAAAATTGCACTTAAAAACTACTTGTAGAAGCAGGGGAGGTATACTAAGTTTAATAAGTATTATAAGCTAAATAAGTTAATATCTTACCACAGAACCTTGTGCGGGATCATAGAATCTTTCTAGGAGTGACACCAGAGTACTCTTACCACACCCACTCTCTCCTACCAGGGCTACGGTCTGGCCTGGTTTGATGGTGAGACTCAGCCCTTTCAAGACGGTGACGTCAGGTCGAGTTGGGTAGGAAAACTTGAGACCACTGTACTCGATCTTACCATCCACCTTTTGCTGTTATTTAAGTAAAATAATTCCAGATTGTATAAAAAAATGTAATTTTTATTAACTATTAAACACATAATCTGACAGATATTTTCTGAATCATTCAATGCAGCTAGGCCTATTAAATTTTATTGATGAGGAGCAAACATTCACTTGAACATACTAGTACACTTATACAAGCATTACTATAGCTACCACTACTACACCATCACCCCCATCATCTCTTCCTGAACAATTCCATCACCATCGCCACCTCCACCACCACCAACACCAACATCATGACCATCATCACCTCCATCACCTTTAACCATCACTATCACCACTATCACCATCACCACCACCACTACCATCCTTCTCAAGACATCACCACATCCACTACCACTACCATCACCAATATCACTACCATCACTACCACTACCCCTTCCACTACTACCCACCACTGCAATTGCCCCTACCAATCCCCCACCAAGACCATTCCCACATCACCAAACCAATATCAAATCCACTACAATAATTATCACTCATACTCCTACTTCTACGGTACTCCTTCCACTTTTAATTCTTACCGGTTGAGCTCCATCCGTGGAATAATTATCAATGAGCGGCTTGATGCTGAACAGGTGAAGCATAAGATCTGCTGAGTGGCGAGCTTTGGCGTAGTCTGGGAGGAAAGCCAGTGACTGACCGACCGAGATGCCGGCAAAAGCAACCCCAAAGACAACTCTATAGTAAATAAAAGAATGAAGGTTTTATCACCAAAGACAAAATGACATAACAATTAAGAATGTATCACCTGTTTGAGACTGATTATGAAATAAGAGATAGGAGACTATAAACTTGCGATTGATTTGGATCAATCACACCTCTTTGTAAGACTGGACCCAGGTATTCTCATAGACAGAATGATATGGCACAGATGAAAGATCATTCCTTGTGAGACACCAAAGCTTTATCGATCTATCCATCTACCTAGCTTTCTATCTATCCATCCATCTATCTCTCTATATATCTATCTTTCCATCTATCCATCCATCTATCTTTAATCTTGAATCACACAATCACTTAAAAACATCATCTCTGCTAATCTCTCCAGCGGGTCTCATACCCTTAAAGCCTGAATGATGCAGCATAGATTAAGAAGATCATTCTCTGTGAGACACCAAAGCCTATATATATCTATCCATCTGACCATGGACCAATCCAGTTTGCATTATGTTGAATCTAGAATCACTAAACACTCACTTGAAGACCTCATCTACTGTCATATCACCAATGGATACCAAGTATCCTCCCAGACGGAAGGATGCTGCATAGATGAAGAAGATCATCGCCTGGGAGACAGCAAAGGCCAGACCATTAATCTGGCTGTTAATCTTTCCTTGCCTGTAACAAGTGATCAAGGGAAAGAAAACAACGGACCCATTTAATGATTTTTATACAGATGATATTATAGTAGATTTAAAGCCTGTCTGCACCAGTTTGGCCAGGAGGGATCTACCTCTCTGCATGGTCACTAACAGGTGGTTATCTCATGAAATCAGCTCCCACTTAACATAAGAAAAAGGGGATCATGGGGGACCATTGGGTACCACTTAGGCATTGTTGGTTATATAGAGGGCGCAAGTAGCTACAAGTAGTGCAGTTCTGCTTTAAAAGCAAATTATATTTAAGTGGACCTCTTACAATGACTAGACGCATTGCTTGGGATACAGCTAGACCAGTCACTTGACCTTTGCCCTTTCCTTGTGTGTATATATTATATATATATATATATTATATATATGTATATATAGACCCCCTATATTAATTAATGAATGATGTAGGCACATCACATTTATGGGTTTTCTAACTGCTAAAACATGGATCGTTCTGTTAAACTGAAGGATAATAGGTTTTTTTCTCTGAATAGTTAAGAATAGTTTTGGATCGTTCCATTTACCTGTAGGGGTTTTGCAGCTGCTCAGTATAATTCGCAATCATCCTATCCTCAAGGTTGAGAGAGGCTACAGTACGAACGTTCTCAATTGCTTCAGCGGCAATCTGTAGAGTGAAGAGAAGAGGAATGATGACGGTATAAAAGGTATGAATCAATTTTTGACACTCGAAAGAGACCTACATGTATAACTAAAAACGTTTTTTCTCTTTGTATTTAGAGTTTTGTGCTGGGATCTCAATTTATATATGAAGAAAAAATGTAAGCTCTAAATGGCACTTATGTATAGATATAGATATAAATTAACCTATTACCTACTGAAACCGAGTGGTCCTTGTACTATGCCTATGGGAAATAGAGAGTTCAGCAGTCAACGGATGAAGAGAAAAGCAATATGTGAGTAAACCAGTCGACATTAACAAATAGTATACTCAATTGCACGCTATTAAATACAGGGGAATGAAGTTTGTACAAAGACTAGTTGATGCTGTTATAACATTGGGCATGGACAGATATAAACAAACATATAGAGAACAAAAAATAGAAGTCATTATCACTTGAAGTTAAAATAGATATCCAATTTAAAAAAGAAGGTTCCATTTCAAGAATAAAAATAGTTAGTTTATATAAAAGTGTGATAGGCCTACACATGAGAGATATGAATTTATGTAAACTTACCCTTTATCTTTTCTTTCTAGAAAATCAATCAATTTCTTTAATTCATTCATTAACCCGTTGACTACTGAATTATCTAATTCCCATAGACTTAACACAGAGACCACCAGGTTCCAGTAAGCAATGGGTTAAAGTCATGGTGGCAGCGTGGGATATAAGATAAAGGTGTCCCGACTTTCTATTAAGGTTGACATGGCGAATCAAAATTGCATGGAGAAAAAAAAAATTTTGAACGAGTCCGTACCTTGCCGGCTTCCTCGATGAGGGCGGCGTCTTTCTCATGCCCACCCTGGAGGATCTTCATCTCAAGAGCACCGGAGAGGGCCAGGACCGGGAGGCAACCGAAGATGAGGAGAGCCAACTTCCAGCCGAAGATGAAGCCAATGGTGATAGCGACGACCATGGTTACGATAGCCTGCACGATGGTGCTGATGCGCATTCCGGTGGCCTGCGTAGACGGAGGAGGATGGAAGAGACTTAAATTGAGACAACTGAAGACTTGGGGGGGGGGGGGGGGGGGGGGGAGGGCACAACTAGTTTATGCCCTTTGTTCATACTAAAGTAAACTCTAATCTCTTCCAGATATCACATGGTAAACCACCCCAAGAAAACAATGCAGCACTTAAAGGGATAGTGGAGTTATGTTGCAGAGGGCACTATACAAAATAATTTTGTTGTGAGATAATGAAAAACTGTCAAATTTGAAAGAAATTTAAATGAAAAAATCATCTTTGTCTGATCAAAATCGGTTCAGAGACGGCTGAAATATAACAATTTCTAATACTTGTGTACTACCACAAATATTAGATATTTTGACAAATTTGAAAAAAACGTTGAAAAAAAAAAATAACGCCTTTTACATCGTATTTCAGTCAATGCCGATGTTGGCTTTTTTGTTGGCATTTTCGTGTTGCTTATATTACCCACAATTAGCTGGCTCATGTATTGTTAATTTTAATTAAATAATTAATTAACGGTCACCATGTTTGTTTTTTTTAAGTGGAGCTGAATTGGTATGATCGTGTTGGCTAAATTTTACACATTTTGGGGTCTAAAATGACCTTCATAGCAATTTTAGGTTCTAAAAGGGCACTATAAATGTCATAAATAAGAATAAAGGAATAACCATGCACTTTGAAGGCATTTGCGGTCTGAAAACAAAACTCAACTATCCCTTTAAAATGAATGGAAACTTCACACAACAAAGGCCCTGTGCGTATCTCCTTAGCTCTGTGTTATAGAAGTTTGAAATGTATTACGCTTTAAAGGTAAAGACCAGTTATGGTCATGCGATTGCATTGCGAAAGAAACGTTGTGGAATCGATCAGAAAGGTTGATCATCTAGCATCTAGCATCTGCAAGGTTCTGGAATCATCAAAATGATAAGAAATTTGGCCCATTCTTCGTAAAGTTACAAGCACTATACACAGAAAGATGTATATGGGACTACCCTATATCTCTCACAGACCATGAGAGAAACAAATTTACCAAATATATGAATTATTAGGCGGTTTCCCGGCAAATTTTTTATCATCATGTATTAGTCAAACATATTCTTTCACATGATTGGTAATGAGAGCTTCCATTTCATTTTTTGAAATTGGGGCGTTTCCAATACTGGTCTTTACCTTTAAGTATGTCATTATAAAAGAACCAATGCAGTTTTGCCACATCATATCAGAAGGAGCCATTAATATGTGCTTGTAGACCCCCTTTGAAATGTTTAATTACAAATCAATTATAAGCATTTAAAACAAATTTAAGAAATATATGTTGGAAACAGCTGTGCCCCCTTCCTTATTCTAAATCCTGTATAGATACAACATAATTCTTTACATAGATTTCACAATTAGCCTGGGAATTGTATGATCTTTTAGAATAATTACCTCAATTATATATTTTTTTTCAAATAAAACCATTTCAGCTTCACTGGCAATAATGCTGTATTTTTTTATTATGGATTAAACATGTTCAAAGAAATTAAAGTTGCTTCTTTTACCTTTCTGCATAGTCGCTAATTTGCCACGCATGCGATATTGCGCTAAACAATACTCTTTTGACACTGACATAGATTAATCTTGCATTGGAAACAGTTTAATAATCTTGAAACCTTTGGTATATTTATCCCACGATAAATATTATCCCACGATAAATAAAATTTGGGACAGGGACAATATTATGCATGGCATATAAAGGGTTTCAAAACATCCTTTCTATTTCTTTAATTTGACTTACCCCTTTGACATTTGATGCGTCTGATGATAGCCTTGTAGCAAGGGCACCAGTACTGTGACTTGGTTGGTCAAAATATGCACAGTCCTTTAAAAAAAAAAATATATATATATATATAACAATTAATAAGAATGTCAACCAGTGACTGAAAAGTGCATGAATTTCTTTCTATTCAGTTGAAAATGTTTTTGTTTAATTTGAATTGTTCTTTTGCCATGTAAGTACAATTTTGATTGAATATTATCCTACTGTGACTGGGCCTAACAGTCTCTCTCTTTCTCTCAATCTCTCTCTCTCTCTCTCTCTTTCTCTCTCTCTCTCTCCCTCCCTCCCTCCCTCCCTCCTCCCTCCCTCCCTCCCTCCCTCCCTCCCTCCCTCTCTCTCTCAAACAGTTGCAAATCATGACCACTTTGAAAATCAGCTTATGTTGAAATGCGATCACATGTTGGATACAAATAAATCAAAATAATAATGTATTGATAACTTCCGTGCAGCAAGCTAGCATGATCAAATTCAATAGAGATCAAGATATAGGCCTACCTGACGGAGGATGGTCCAGAACGCTTTCTTGCGAAGCCTCAGGGTCAACTCCTCTCCAGAGATTGAAAAGCAGTAACCGGTGACGCTGTTACTCACAAAGAATGCTCCTCCGAGGGCCAGGAACATCAGGGCCCAGAAAACAGATTCCTCTCTCAATTCGTCAGCGGGCAAACTGAAGATCTGAAGCGCAAAGGTGATCGAGCCAAAGAATTTCTCGTCAAATAATTGTCTTTACATTTAGACCTTAAAACTCAAATAAGCTGGCTTTAAATAATGATCACAGCAAAAAAGTGAGAACAAAAATGAAGTAAAAAAATTAGATCAAAGAAGTTCTTTTGAATACCACCATCAAAAAACACTTTTGAGAAACCAACCCAAGGGCCATTTTAATCTTATATTGTATTACATATATAAATCATTAATCATTATTACATTTCACACAATTTAAAGCGTTACTGAACTGATGAACTGTCTGCCCTAGCGTGCTGTTTATTGTACAGCATCATCACATGGTTAACTTGCCAACTGTGCAGGTAACCCAATTTCAGAGGATTCGATGCAATATAGAACAAAAGCGCAGTATATAGTTAGGGGACCATACTGCTACAGCTGACACAAAATGGCGCTAGTGGGGTTTTATTAGTAGAATGTGGCTTCATTAGATTACGCACAAAGCTATTGAAATGCCCCTTCCGTGAATGATGATTTCTTGAAAGTCAAGTTCAAATTCATTTTCAAATTTATTCATTTCACATCTCTTAAAAAGTACAATGTATGTAGAATAAACAATTTAAGAACAACAGTGTACAGAAATTAGAAAAATGATAAAAATGAGAAAGGATGCTAACACTGTGATAAAGTGGATGTGAGGGAGTATATAGCAAAGGCTATTGAACTGAAAAGGCTCCTCCCGGTATAAATATCCATCACTGTTTTAGTCTTTAAATATAATCATGCTGTTGATAGATTTAATTGTCAACTAACCAAAATATCATATCCATGGGGGCAATTTTTACCATGCATCCCAAAGCAAAATATCTTGATGCTTCCACTGTTTTCTACCCACACACGTATTTGCCGATCTACTTACCGCGATGACCTCGCTGAAAAGAATAGCGAAAGCAGGCATGGCGACTCCAAGGATTCCAGCAAAAACGCAGCCGACAACGATGTAAAGCCACTCCGGTTTATTCATCTTCAAGATTTCAAGATAACCTCTCTCCTCCACCTCCTCCTCCTCAACTTCTTCCTTTACCTGTGAACCAACATTAAAAATAGGAATGTGGTTAATATTGTCGAGGCCGCCATCCTAGTCAAGCTTCGCTTATGATCGCGGTCTTCTGCACTTTTTCAACTGATAGTTTGGATAATACTTTAAATTTATATGTTATAGAAATATCAACTTTCGTTATTATATGTACATATGTAAAAAAAAAAAAAAAAAAAAAAAAATTTGCACATGAATTTAACATTGTTTGTATATTTTGTATTATACCTTATGTTTTTATATTCTTTGTTATTCTGTTAATATATTTGGAAAAATGCAGAAATAAATAAAATATTGATCACATTTGACATCTTTTACAATATCTGTAAAATGAAATGAAACAAGAAAATGAATCTGGCATGTGCCTAATGTTTTAGTATTCCGACATGCGAGACTGCAGTACTGAGTGAGTGACCGAGCTAAGAAAAAATGAGCCTAAAAAACACACATGTAAATGTACAGGTAGTAAGAAACCTTCACTTACCTCGACACTTTCTTCCATTTTGCCACTGCCGTTGGACATTTGTCGTGAGATCTGACGAGACATTTGACGAGATGGTAGTCGTTTGATGGATTCTTTTCGAACAACTTCTTTTGAAGTTGATGTTGATTCCTCTGTAAAAAAGAAAGGGAGGGGAATGCAAAACAGCACCAACTTTTAAACATATGGATCTTTGATTGTAGCAGCACCTTCCTTAAAAATAAATAACAATAATAGCATCCAAAGATCTTGTTCAAAATTGCTAACCAACCGTTGTTATTAATCTTCTTCACTTTGGATGTACATGTATATGATTTCATGATCCAACAACATTTTGCTAAAAACACAACGAACTCAAAGTAATTTCTTTCCTAAGGAACAGGATTGTTGGAATTCAGTTGAGCCAAAGGGCATGGAAGGGGGGGGGGGTGGTAGGTTCCTTTCCCTGGAATGATAACATTTTCATCATGAATTTGTTTTTCAAGGGGGGGGGGGGGGTGTCATACATCACCCCTCTCTATAGATAGGCCTACATGTATTCTAACGCAGGGAAAAAATCAACATTTATTTTTTGGGGGCTACTTTTCGTGCTTGCCTGCATAAAAATAACATTCTGAAATTTGTTTTGCATTGATCTCTATGCAAATTTATGGGGGGTATTTTCTGATTTTCGGGGGCTCTTTTGGGCATTTCGGGGGCTATTTCACCCTGAGCCCCATGTATTTTTTTCATTGTTCTAACGTACCACCAGCACCATCAAGAGTCTGCAGTGTCACAAGCTGCTTGTAGACCCCGTCTCTCTTCATCAACTCAGCGTGATCACCAAACTCGACGACCCGCCCGTCTTCGAAGGCGTAGATGACGTCAGCATTCCTGATGGTAGTCAAGCGGTGAGCAATCACAAGGGTTGTGCGACCTTCCGAAGCCTATACAAGTTTATTCAGGATGATAAAGAAAATGGCAGAACAATTGAAATCTGAAAACACCCCATAATAAATAATCAGGGTAAATAATCAAGTTTTATACATTTGCACTTTAAGATTTAAGTGCAATGCAGATCATATTTAGTGAGCCTAATGTTACGTTCTATACATCAGAATAATTAAAGAGAAAATGGCAGAACAAAGTGAATTAAGTAAGGTTTCCCTAAATGCAAATACCAAACAAATTAAAAAATGTGTTGGCTAGCAAATCAATAAATCTCCCCTTTGATCTGCAAATGTGTTGGTAATTTGTACTTTAAGGGGAAATCCATCCTGATACTAAGTTGGTTCCATTAGAAGCAGAAGAATAAGAGGAACAGGTCAGGGAATGTTTGAGCAAATTAGCATTTAAACAAAATTATGAGTTATTGAAGTTACTATCAATCAAACACAAATTGGCTACACTGTGACGTATCTTGTGAGCTCCTCTCCAATTTGGTCTGTACAGAAAAACATTCAGTAGATGCCAGGAAAACTTCATTTACAGGGGTTCATCATTGTTTCTCTAGTGACAATTCTTTTCCTTATTCATGACGGAATATATATTTTTTCCACATAGGTATTGAATAAAAACATCGTTTAAATAACTATTTATAGGGTGCAAGTATGATTACAAAAATTCTTGGGAGAAAACAATATTTCTAATCTTTTTTAGCTACCAGTCTTACCTTATCCAGAGCTTGTTGTACGACCTTCTCACTCTCTCGGTCCAGGGCTGAGGTGGCTTCGTCCAGTAGAAGGATAGGTGGGTTTCTGACCAGAGCTCTGGCGATGGCTACTCTCTGCTTCTGACCACCGGACAGCTGGGCTCCACGCTCACCAACCATCGTATCATAACCCTGCACGATGAAATTGACAGTGAGGTTATGACTGAGATGTACACAACCTCACCATGTAGGATCACGCCCGCATTTCACTTTATGAAACGTCCATGTCATAAACTTTGAAATTAGAAATATAGTATAAAACGTAGGGCCCGTTGCACAAAACTTACCGTTGATGGTAACTTTGCCATCCATAGTAACTACCATTGAAACCTTGCTTTTGATTGGCTGTTGAGCCCTGTTACCATGGTAGTCGCCCCTAATAGGATATTATGATATCTATTGACAAAACTAAAGTCGGGTCATTGATTCAAGGGTCAAGCATTCCCTCTAAAAATTAAAGATTGGTGCCCTAACAAAAGCTTTCATTTTTTTTTTTTTTTTTAAATTTTTTTTTTGGGGTGGTGTTTATTTTCCACCAACCGCAACTTCCATTTGTCTATACTTTTATGATTTTTATATCATGATTTTCCCTTTAATATATATATTTTAATTGATTTGAAATAAAGTGAGCTCAGTTGAATGGAATTGAATTAATTGTGTATTCAAGGAAGTAATATGTATGGATGCAGATCGCTACTTTCTACCCCTATCTTGTAGATGGATCGGCAAGCATGCTCGCATAATGAGCAAGAAAGCTGCGATTGATTGCAAGTTGCAAAATTTGCAACTACTATTTGCAATCGATTGCAAATTAACTTTCTTGCAACCCCCCCCCCCCCCCCCCCTCCTCCTACTGGTCTCCTAAATTTCCTAGGATTTTGTTAGGATTGAAGTTTTAACAATCAAATTAAGTTATTTACTAGATCTAGCTTTTATTCCCCCCCCCCCCTCTCCCTCTCTCTCTCTCTCTCTCTCTCTCCCTCTTTCTCTCTTATTAATGGAGAGTTTAAAGAGAGTTGAGTTGCGATCAAGACTTACGCTTGATTTTGGGGCTTCGCAATTGATTGCAGCTTTCTTGGAACGCCCCATAATACAGAGAAGGTCTTCCATTTCCCTTATCAATACTCTTCCCACTGATCTAAATAGTCTGTGTGTATTTGCAGTCAATGTACCTTGACGATATTCTTTATTATCATGTACCTAAACCTGTTTGTTTTTTAAAGTCAACTACATCATTTCTGATGACCACCCTAAATCAAATGGACATAGACCCAATTTTGATTTTTCTTTGACAATGTCAGACCCACCTTGGGTAGTTTTGAGATGAAGTCATGGGCGTTGGCCATCTTGGCAGCCTTGATGATTTCCTCCTTGGTGACACCGTCTCTTCCGTAAGAGATGTTGGTTTCTATGGAACAGTTGAAGAGGACCGGCTCCTGGCTGACCACACCCATGTGTCTCCTCAACCAGTGGAGGTTCAGCTCTTCAATCTTATGCCCGTCGATTAGGATCTGAAGATGAGATGAGAGTCATATAGAAACAATACAGGTTTTTACTATCAGACTGGTAATATTCAAATAAGGACAATGTATAAAGTGATAGTTTAGCATTCATGTCCATCACACAATAACACACAGTGTGCTCAAATATCCCTCCTGGGGGGCGTTTCACAAAACTTGTCATCAGTGACAAATGACTGTCTTTGTTATAAGCTACTGAAATCCTTGCTTCTGATTGGTTATCAGCAGATTCGTCACTGATCTTTTTTGTCATTTGTCATTGAGAAAAGGCTTTGTGAAACAAGTCCATGATCTCATCAGGTTGCCATTATAACTAACAAATATCTTTTCACTGGGTAAATATTTACCTAGCATGGGTCGAAAGAGAAAGATATGGTGCCTAGTTTGGGACAAACAGTACAAGTAATAGTATGAACAGGTGAATTAACCACTTTACTTGAGTTGATCAAAAATTCTGAAGGATCGAAACACAACTGTTTGTGTTGAGAGATAACAAAATGGGAAATTCTTTATTTAAACACATATCTTTAGATTCGAGGATACAACGTGCATTTTAATTTCTTTAAATCAGATATGCTATGATATGAGAAGGAAAGATTTAGAATGTCTTTGGCAATAGCATTGAAGAAACTTGAAAGACCAAACACACCAGGGGGTGTTTCATAAAGCTGTTCGTAAAGTTACGGGTGACTTTACAAACAACTTGTATATGAGGTGCCAGATAGGATGTCCAATTTTTTTTTGATATTTCCAAAAACCACAATTAAATTATGGCAAAAAATATACTTTGCATTAAAAATGTTTGTTATAATAAGAATGTTAATCTATATCTGCACAGTTCAACTTTAGTTGATGCAGGTAATAATGATTGAGCATCCCATTTGGCTTTTCATATACAAGTCGTTCATAAAGTCATGCGTAACTTTACGAACAGCTGTATGAAACTCCCCCCTGCACACTTCAAAAACATTTTTTTGTGTGAATGTTAATCTTCGTTTACTCACATTGCCACCCAACTTTTCATAGAATCGTAGGAGCAGGTTGATAGTGGTCGACTTGCCACATCCACTGGACCCCACCAAGGCCACCGTCTGCCCCTTCCTAATGCTCAGGTCTACACCTTTCAACACCGGTACATCGTCCCGGGTGGGGTAAGAGAATTCCACCCCTTGGAAGTCTATGTTCCCCGTCATCTCTGCCGGTACGATCCCCTTCTTGGAGCGAGTATCGATAGCTGGCCTCTGGTGATCGACAGAGAAAGAAAGAGAGCAGTTGGTTGTTTATCTGATTTTCATTTATAAGATGCTGACGTGGATCCTAATCAAATGATTGGTTGAAAGCGTACACATGACCAGCCATTTATTTTGCCTAACTTGGATTTAATGACCGGTCATTATCCAATGGTAATGACCGGTCATATTATCAAAATCATGTTATAAAACATAATCTTATAAAACAAATAATACACATCATTTTGTTTGGGCATTAGTAAAATAACCCACACTCGGTACCTTCAAAGCAGTCCAAACACCCTCGGCTGTTAGACTGTTCCAAAGGTACTGTGTGGGTAATTCTTACTAATGCCCTCACTGCTGTGTATTATTTATATATTCAAACATGCAAACAATACATTTCAAGATTGCCATAATCCTTAAGGACCTTCTGAAGCTATGAGGGTTCAGTAAACCAACGAAGTACCAGATTGGCAGCCCTTAAAACCAATATTTTGGTTTTGCGGACCTCTGATAATTTTTTCTGAGGGTTCGTGACGAGACCAACATCGTTGGTCTTGTGAGCATTATTAAAGTCTCATGTGCTGTCAGTCTAAAGGGATATCCCGGTTCAAGATTACAAGAAATGTGGTCGGCCCATTTCAATGTAGTTCGAGTTATCTGGCGTTCATTCTGACTTTTAAACAATATCAATTTGTAGAACCATTTCATGGCTCATTATGCACTTCAAGTCAATTTTGTGGTTCTGCATTTCGATAGGAGCTAAAAAAGAAGGGATTCTCAATTGTTGGATTGTTTATACCAGCAGAATATAAACAAACTGGGGAAAACTGAAACTGAGAGAAACAAGTGAAAAGAGAGGGAGGGGAAGGGGTGATGAAGAAAAGGGGAAAAGGAGGGAAACCAGAGAAATAGCACAAAAAATTTGGAAGAAGGCGAGAGGGGGAGGGAAAGAAAAAGAAATGGAGATAGGGAAAGAGAATGTTAGCGAGAAAAGAGGTGAACACAGGAATAGAAAGAGTGACAAGATCAGGGACTTACGGCATCGATGACGTCGAAGAGGGTCACTGCCGCACCCCTTGCTGCCGTGATTGCTGTCATGGAAGGCGAGATGTTCCCGATGGAGAACGAACCGATCATGACGCTGAAGAATACGATCATGACGTCACCACCAGTTATACGCCCATCGGCAACGAGTTTAGGCCCATACCTTGAAATGGTGATGAATAATTACGCATTATTACAATTACAGATTATTACAATTACAGGTATTGCTATTTTTATTTTTTCAATTATATTTTCCAGGAGGTAATTGTCCTAGAACCATTGTTTGTGTAGAACAAGAAACCACTTTAATGAACAGCAATTTTCCAAGCAATACGTATAGGTGTGATGTTTCCAATATGTTTCTAACTTAATAAAACACATGAGAGTTCAATCATACAATCATGCATCAACCTTAATCCAATGGGGTTCTCACCAGAAAGCAAGTGCATAGGACCCGAACATGATGAACATGGTGATACCCATGCCGACGCCCGAAGTCACGCCCTTCTTCACGCCCACATCTCTGGCTTCTTTCAGCTCCTTCTCGTACCTGAGGAATGGAGAGAATGGAGAAAAGATGAAGGGTTGATAAAAAGAAATATATGAGAGGTCTATAAATTAGCTGGTCCTTTGAAATTGCTGGGGAATATATGAACATTCAAGGGATTTGTAAATATAAGGAGTTGAGCATTAATAAACACCTTATTAAAAGACTTTTTAATGATGGGTCTTTTCGGAGGACACACTTTTTAGGCTGTAAATTTGTAAAGATCTGAAGTCATGCAAAAACACTTGCATTGTTAAAGATTATGTTGATATTGCATAAGTTGTTTATTTGCTGTTATATATAAATTTGTAAACATTTGGAAGAAGAAAAAGTATTTGGATGTAAATCATGATCATCTTTAGTTTATCATCTTCATATGCTTATGACCAATGTCTCTACCATGGCTTGAGAAGAATTTTGTTAGAAGTTGACATTTTCATATTGTTACTTAGTATAGTAACCTTCATTTGATAACAGTTTGAAAACTATATTTTACCTAGTGACCTCCTTCTGTTCTCCTCCAAATGCTATGACAGTCCTGACGCAAGACAAAACCTCCTCCGCGACACTCCCGGCTTGGGCGTACGACTCCTGCTCTAGCTTTGCGAAGGATGTCAGAAACTAGAGAAACATAATCAGTGAGACGTTTAGGTTCACTGGTGTTGCCAATTTGTCGCAATAAAATATGAAATTTAATTCAATACATATAATGGGTAAATGTTGTAAAAATTTCTTGAGGGAATAACAATTTTAAAGGCGAAATGAGCCATCCTGTTTACTCATAAAATCAATTAAATGAAAAAAGGAATAAACAATTAATAAATAAATATCATGGTAGGGGTGTGAGAGTTTAGGAGGGGTAAGGGATCGTACCACTAGTGTTACATCATCGCCCTCTTTTTGTCTGTTATCTAGTACGAACTGGAAAACAAAATTATAAAGATAGTAATACAAATAGGAGACATAACATCTTTTATAAATGGGGAGCATGGACCATGCAGGAAAGCTTTAAAGCCCGTCTGTACTAGTTTGGCTAGGAGGGATTAGATCACTGACAGGTGGCTATCTCATCGAATCAGCTCTTAATTAACATGGGGAAAAGTGGATCATGGGGACCAATGGTCACCGATTAGGCATTGTTTGCTATATAGAGGGCGCAAGTAGCTACAAATAGTACAGTGCGCTTTAAATACCTATCCTTGATGTACTTACATAAGCCATGAAGCCCCCAGCTGCTGCTAGTAGAGGGGTCGTGGATAGAAGAACGAGGGTCAATTCCCAACTCTTCCAAAAGGCTATACCAAAACCTGCAGTCAAAGAAATCACATAATTAAATTCATAACATTTGTTTTGAATTGATTTGTAAGCACATTATTAAAAAAGAAAACAAATATTTTCTACAGTTTCGTGATCATATTGTACTAAAGCACACTCGACTACATCAACACAATTATATCACAATCATGACTTTAGTAAGGTTATAGAATGTTTTAAGATTTAAGTACATGAAAACAAGAAAAAGGAGAGAGTGAGAGAGAGGTGGAGAAGAAAGAGAGAGAGGGGAGGAGAGACAGAGAGGGGGTTGTATCACGGTATGTTTTAACTTTTACAGATAACTACCATGCATGAAAAACGGAGCGAGATATATTTGAAACATGTCAAAATTATGGTATTGGGGGGGGGGTGGATAACGCGTCCCATCCTTTCCATGGTAATTCTCTAAAATCTAAATTGAGGTCATTACAAAATTGAAGCAAAAAATGCTTTCAATCATTTTTACTTCAATAATACGTCATATGAATTCCCTTCTCGTTATTGTACAGCCATGCATGAAAGCATGTGATATATGGCGCAGTGTTATATAACAGCGTTTATTACTTCACATCTCATAAAACATACGTAACGGAAACTTTGGTTACATAACACGGGTAGAACTTAGCTTCCTTTTGTTACCTCATCTGATTCAATTATTATCCTCGCATAAAAGATGAGCGTAAACAAACAATATTCATCATTCAATGGGCCAATAGTAGAATTTCTGAGGTGTACTTTACTCGGCAATTTGTTCCGTTAATGAATAATAGCCTCTTCTGTTATCTTACCAATAAACTAAAAATAACAACAATAAAATTAAAATAAACAAAAATCACGTATAATACTCATATACGTGTTATCTTGTTTTTATCTCTATATCTATTAGTATAATACTCTTCTTGAACGAATCTGCTTTGTTTCATATTTTCATCGTTCAATGGACCAATAGTTTAATGACATTTTTGAGGTGTATTTTACTCGGCAATTTGCTCCGTTAATGAGTAATAGCCTCTTCAGTTTAATCTTGTCAATGAACTAAAATCAACAATAACAAATAATAAAGTAAATTAACTAAAAGCATGAAAATACTCATATACGTGTTATCTTGTTTTTATCTCTATAATTTATCTATACCAGTTTCATCTCGAACAAATCTGCTTTGTTTCATATGTTCATCATTCAATGGACCAATTGTTTAGGTGTATTTTGCTCGGCAATTTACTCCGTTGATAAATAATAGCCTCTTATGTTATCTTGCCAGTAAATTAAAATTAACAATAACAGATAATAAAGTAAAATAAACTAAAAGCACGTAAAATACTCACAAACATTTTATCTTGTTTTTATCTCCATACCAGTTTCTTTTTTAACTTTTTTGTTTGGTTCATATTTTCATCATGCAATGGACCAATACTATAGTGTAATTACATTTTGAGGTGTATTTTACTTGGCAATTTGTTAATGAGTAATAGCCTCTTCCGTTATCTTGCCAATAAACTAATCAAGATCTTATCAGAAAGACTTTGTCCTCGTGAACTCCTTAACGAGCCACCATTTTGGGTTCTTGCGCAACTTCATGAAATTTATGTATGTTTGTTTCATGCCGCCAAGGGCGTAAATCCCTTGGATGGGGGGGGGGGGTATCATTTGTATGCGTGCATGTGTGTGGATAGGGGTGTGAGTGTGAGGGTGTGAGTGTGTCTTTGTTTTTTTAAAGATGAATATCTGGCTCTGACCCATTATAATCAAATGTACTATATTGCATTTTTAAAATAATTCTCGAAGGTTGAAAAAAAAACTTACAAATTTACCTTTTGTTAAAAAGAGATTAAACATGATAACATGAATTATCAGACTGAACTACCACGGCCACATACAAACTTTTTCAGAAATAGGGTCCATTATATTCAGCCTCAAAGCTTTACAATAACCTACCGGCAAATATTACAGTAGAGAAAAACATGACGGCATCCGTAAGAAGTCTCTCCCTTTCTTAATACACCCACACACACCCTCATTAATTGTTACTGGTCATGATAAACTAATTTATGTATTTTTTCATTTACTTTTACTGTCGCTTTAAATACCATGGTTCTTCGTATTGTTATGCTGTTCTTTTTTTCCTTAGTCATTTAAATGTTGTTATTCTTGTATGAATGTATGTGATTTTCTTGTATATCGTTATGTAGCCATGTTATGTACATGAGTGCATTGTTTTGTTTGAACTTCTGTTCGATGCCTTGCTGGAAAGCACCTTCTAGCCTGAGAGCAGATTTTAACGCGATTAAATAAATGCAACACAATACAATTAATAAGATTTTTAAAAAAAAAGTCTGTCTTGTTCAAATATTGTTCGATTCAAGGCAGCATGTCTATCCGTGCTATTAATGCTAAATCTACGTTGACCGGTTGCTTAGGCAAACACCCAGTCAGACGTCAAATATTACCGCACCATATCATTGTGTACATTTTTTCTCACACGACAAACAAATTAGCTCGTGAATTAAAGATGGCGATCGTATTGGATTACCATATTAGGAGACACTGATAATGTCGCGCGATGTCAGTATTTGGTAATGGTTCGGCCAATGAAAAAGGCATGAATAATTCATTATCTCTGAGTTTCCTAAGATGTGAATAATGACATTTGACTTGTTTATGAGTCATCATCGAGAGAGGGACAGTGGAACAGAATATCACTATAAAGGTCACCGCGGTTATACATTTTATTGACCAATATTCATTAAATTTCTGATTAACTGAGCAAAATATTACGACCGTCACACAAAATAAAAGACGTAATCATCGCAATTTTTATATTCTATTTATTTTTCCACGTAAAGATTGTCGGACTTTCTTCTCTCTAGGAATATCGCTCTCCCACTCCGGGAATATCACTACTTCTTCCTGCCCCATGTTTCATTAATCGATTTTCTTCACTATCCTCATGAGGCCCGTTTTTTAGACGAAACCTTTTTTTTTTAGTGCACCCCCCCCCCCCCCTCCCCCGAGCGAAATATTGGTCGGTGCGATTTTCAAATTTCGGCCCCCCCCCCCCCCCCCCCCCTTTGAAAATCCTGGATCCGCTACTGGATTAACTCCCCCCATTAACAAAAAGCTAGATCCGCCCCTGCCATGGAAACCTTGATTTTGATTGGCTGTTGAGCCCTGTTACCATGGTAGTTGCCATTCATGTCAAAGTTACCATCAATGGTAAGTTTTTGTGCACCGGGGCCCTGGTATCACTATAAATACTTCACTTACTTTTATTTTCTCTAGTCATCTATAGTATTTTTCGTCATCAAAGTCGCATCAGTACGTTACTAATTATTTTTGGTCATAAATTCGGTCGGTCTATTCTCGTGTTTTACGTCTTATCAAATTATTTGTTCCGTTGTTATCTCTTTAAAAATATCTTTTCTATCTATTCCCCTTCATTTTAATCACCCTTATTATATCACTATATAGTTATGTTTTTCTTATCTTGTTCTTCATGCATACCGCCAAACCAACTTCAGACCGACTCCGAACTAGCCTTTTGACAAGGCCTCGTGACTCTGGCTATTTTCCACGTGTTGGGTCCGGGGAGACGGTCGGCGGTTGCGATTTTTTGAACAAAACATCCCGGACCATCCCAGATCACCCCAGACCATGGTCCGGGATGGTCCGGAGTGGTCCGTGCTCGTCCGTGCTGGTCCGGCTTTATATGGGACTGGGGCTTTACCCCCATCCCCTCCCCAAGAAGGAAAAAGCTGATCATGGCTCTAAATTCTGTTTAACAAGGAACTTTTCCATCGCCGATGGATAAATCTCCTACTGACGTGTTCTAAATATTAGTGTGACGTGAAATGTATATATTCTAGTTTGCAGAGAGCAGTCAGGAGGGATAATGCTCCCCATACCAGCTAATGGACATCGCGAAGTAGCAGAATAATTCATTGTCAGTTAGCGATTGGATGACTAGGACATGCCAAACAGTGGTAATTTGGGAATAGGGTAGTTGCTTGGATTTCAAATTAAATATTAAACACCGGCAAGCTCTCAGACTCTTCATTTTTCGTTATAATGTCAATTACATAGTGTTTATTTTTTAATTATGCGTCATGTGTGTCGCCGATTTACATTAAACAACATGGAAATTATCATATGATATGAAGTAGGATCCTTGCTCTACTGCATGAGCTATCAAATAAACACAGACACTAGTCTATTGGTAAAGTGAGGATAAAAACGCAAAAGTCGGACATGCGCTTCTTTTAGAAATCCGTTCCCCAATCTCTTTGGCGAAAAATAGAGATTTTTTTTAATTTGTATTTTCATCGATCGATGATTTTTGTTTTCCTTGAATATCTTTAAACTAATTAATACTTTCCACATCACTCTATGAAGCCTCAAAACAAAATGAAATATTTACCATAATTATACTTCATTTATAAATATGAAGCAAAATGATAATCACTCATGTATGAAAAATTCGACTTTCTTGGATGAAGATGATTATGATTCATACGCTCAAATGAAAATGAAATGAAGTTGCATAATAGATTCACTTTTAGTATACTTCATTACCATCATTACTTTGGTCATCCCGGGCCCCATTTTCCATGAAAGCACCCCCACCCCCCCCCCCCCCCCCCCCTCCTCCCGTCCTTGCGAAGACCCCTCTTTTCTGTGCCTATAGCCGTCCAATAAAAATGACATGACACTCACCAGCCAAGAATAGAGAGAGAGATTGCAGGCAGAGAGCGATCTTGTCTCCGAGTCCATCTTTCACTCTCTCCATGTCGCTGTAATCGAAAGAAATAAAGAATGAATGAATGAATGAATGAATGACCGAATGAATAAATAAATGAATGAATGGAAAAATCACGAGTGAGAATCATTACAGATCTATTTGTAGAGACGTGTTTTAATAAAAAAAAATATTAAAAAACACGATATTGCCAGCTCCACATCATGATGGTTAAAAGGAAAGAAAAAAAAAAAAACTAGAATTACTATAATGTCCGTCTCATGCTCGAATATCAATCAACTTTCCAGCTTCTAGATTTTGAGACCTGGTGAGGGAGCGCGCATAGAAAAAGGAAAAATCGTCACTTAATTACAGTGACACTGTCATCTTGTTATCAAAATATATAAAATAAGAGACTTAAAAGATTGCATACGGCAAAGAGAGGTAGCATTTGCCCGAACATTTTAAAGGGATCCGGTAACTTTGTCTCAGATTCTGAAACAAAATCCTGGATTTAGCTCATGCTGCAATGATTATTATAAACCTTTAGATCAGTCAGGAAATCCATGACTTTTACAAGCCGATCGCCTGTCTGATTATCAAGATATTTATGATTGGAATTACAAATTTTGAAAACCGTTCGCCGGACGGTTTTCATAACACTACAGTCTATTGGGGAAAACGAGTATGGTAAAACCGGTCACTCAAAGATTTTTACTTTTTTGAGGCACTTCTTGATCATTTTGAAGCGCGATTTTTTTAGGGCTTCAATATTACACCATACCACAGACACTGATAACACGTAGGGCCGTGTATCTCAGATTTTACATTGTTAAACGATCCCTTTAAGACAAAAATAATCGAAACTGTCGCAAACTTACTCGGCCAACCTGGACGTGAGTTCACCACTCTTGTGAACATCGAACCATTGGATTTCTTGATGCAAGATGGCGTTGAAGAAGGCCTGACGAATCTTATAGATCTGCCTCTCGCCGGCAAGAGTCCACATCGATGACTGTTAAGAATACAGATGATGAATCGTTAGAAAACACAGGACCGAATTTGCCGACATGACTTGTGTGCCAGAACTTTCAAAATGAGCTAATGAAAAAATATAATCTTACCGTTCCTAATATTGCCAACAAAAGACATACGCTAACAACTGTTTTTATTTTCATTTTTGACAAGCGGTTTGTAACCCTCTACCGATTGTAGATTGGGATTGTGCAACTTTATGTCTGTCTCCAGTCGTAGTTACTCAATATATCTGATCGATACAATTCTGTACAAAATTCCTCTCACACACACTAGGGTTCTTTAACGAAATCTTAATATAAATCCTGATCTGAAGTCTCCTGAGCCCCGTGACACAAAACTTAGCAATTGATTGTGCAATTTAAAAAAAAAAATGCGACTGATTGCATTGATCAATCCGCGCGATGAATCGCAAAATTTAATCTCAAGACTATTTGTTGCGGGACCTCGCATGGGCCCTGTTTCATAAAACTTGCCATCAATAACAAACGCAAACTTTCCAGGACAAATTTGATCTCAGCCAATCAAATGCCACGATTTCCGTATCTTTTATGACAATTATTGAAACTTTTTATTTGAAATAATTTTTATGAAACAGGGCCGTGGTCAAAACTTTCTGCTCACCTGCAGGTATGCCATCACCATGACACCTATGCCAATGTAGGTGAATATGACGGCGTACATTTGCATCTGGTTATCAAACTCTTTGGCCGGATCCAAACCCGGCGGTAAAGTAGCCGTGAAATCCGTGGTGTTCGTGGTATTCAACTTGTCGAAATCAACGAACTCGTCGATGAGACCGCCGAAGACGATGTTGAGCGCCGGCCAGGCACAGCCGTGGCAGACCGCGGCAAAACAGCCGATAAACATGAAGAGGCCGTCGAGACCCGTAGCATAGCGAAACTGTTGCACAAAAAACAAAATACGCAGGTTACCACTGACCAGTGAAAATATTGTGTGTGTTTTTTTAAGTTGGCGATGCTGATAGTAGTGGCGATAATGAGGATGATATTGATGACACTTATTTATTTATTGGAATAAAGAGGAAGGAAGTAGACTTAGAGGGAGACCCAGAATCAACTGGGAAGAGAATGTCAAGAACTGGAGTGGACTAAAACTGCAAGAGTGCACCAGAATGGCAGAAGATAGAGTGAAATGGAGAGATGTTGCAATCAACCTCCGAACCGGGAGAAGATACTTAGAAAGATAGATAGATTTATTTATTTGATTTCCAGGTAGAAATGACAACACAGAGCATATAACATGAAAGCGTTACAACACAGTGAAAATGCCACGAGCGGATGATGATAGGGGTAGTGGTGATTATGGACGGAGTGACAATCAAGTTTATCATGTTAAAGGTGAAGCGAAGGAAAATGAGGAGAGAATGATGATGATGATGATGATGATGATGATGATGATGATGATGGTGATGGTGATGGTGGTGGTGGGGGTGGGGGTGATGGTGATACTGGTGGTGATGGTGATGGTAATGGTGATGGTGATGGTAATGGTAATGGTAATGGTAATGGTAATGGTAATGGTAATGGTAATGGTAATGGTAATGGTAATGGTAATGGTAATGGTAATGGTAATGGTAATGGTAATGGTGATGGTAATGGTAATGGTAATGGTGATGGTGATGGTGATGGTAATGGTAATGGTGATGGTGATGGTAATGGTAATGGTGATGTTCAAGGTGATGATGATGGTGATGGTGATGGTGATGGTGATGTTGATGACGATGGTGATGACGATGATGATAATGATGGTGATGGTGATGTTGATGACGATGGTGATGACGATGATGATAATGATGGTGATGCTGCTGTTGATGCTGCTTCTACTGTTGAAGAGGGTGATGTTGTTGATGACAATGATGATGACGATGTTGTGATGTCACTAAACTCGATCATAGAAAGTATCATACTCACCAATCTCGTGAAAGGGACCTGTGGCTTCTCTTCCTCTTTCTCGTTTTCCTTCTCATCACTCCTGAAAACGGATCACACAAAAATCAAAGAGTCAATCGAATTTCGCCCGGTATTCTACCCCATTAATTCCCTTCTGAAAGGTGTGAAAGTCCCGACTGCTCAGAAGCCTTGAGCTACTTAGCTTTAATACTCAAACGTTTTCTGAACATCAAATGGAAGTAATATATCGATATTTCATATCCTTATTCTTTAAGCAGTGACTCTTTTAAGAGGGTCATATAGACGCCTATAGTCTGGTTCTTAAGTGTAATAAGTGAGGTATAGTCGAGTCGTAATGTGCTTCTGTGCTCCTGTGCTTCGGTGGTCCACTGATGGGTATGTATCGTCCCGGAACTCTCCGCTACGATCATCTTAGACCATAATGTTGTAACTTTGCGATTGGCTGGGCTACTTGCTACCAATCTGGCTGAATGATTTGAATTATTTATTGTGTCACAGAATATTTCACTGAATATCATTTTGACTGTCATATTATGAGGGGGAAAAAGTTATTTTGTTTTCGTTTGAAATAATTCATCATCACAAATTCATGAGAGTAAACTTTTTCACTTCGAAGAATATCAAAAAGAAAAGTCAGTTTCTCACTTTTCCTCTCCCTTGATGGTTCCGTTCGCGGTGTCCTTTCCATTGGTTGCACCGTAGTTCCCATTCTTGAACGCGACCTCAGTGCCGTCGTCGTCGAGGCCTTTCGTATGTCCGTTTTCCACCACCATCCCGGCAGTCTTCGGCTTCTCTTCGGCTAATATCGTCTTTTGTTCGGCTGCTCGTGCTTTCTGTTGTTGGAGCAATGGGGTGCGCTCAGGCGATTCACCTGTAAAAAAATAAAAATGATAAAAAGGAAAATAAAATAATGACAACGATGATGGAATGAAGATGGTGGTTATGATGGTTAATCATCATCGGCAAGTTCTTTGTATTATCTATAACATAGCTAATACTTGAAGATTGAGCTGAAAATGAACTTGGAGGCATTGAAGAGACTCGGTAATAAACAAATTAACTGAATAGGGCACGATTAGTCACGGTATTGTGCTCTTGAACAAATAATTGACAATGTTTAATATGAAAATATTATTAATGTTATTTCTTGATGAAATGTACTAGATAAGATATATAAAAACTACACATAGAATCATCTCGCTCACCGAATATGAGTTGTAGCTTGCCAGAATATTAGAGATTTTAACATTCTTGCGGAGGGGGGCAGTACCGCGCCGCGCCCTATATTTGTTTATGATCAAGACCCGCCTCGTACATGCTCACGATAAGTTTTATCTAATGTACATAATATTAGAACCTTGCATCTCTTGTAGATGGTATCGCCTCGTATAGGCGGTTGGATGAATAATTCGCAGATAGAGTGAACATTTCCTTTTGTATCAACGAGTTCTGAATTTTGATAGCATTCTAGCTTTAATGATCGGTGATCACGTCTTTAAAACTTAACTCACAAATTACAAATTTTATCATGTTGCACCATTGGCCTTTAATTTGGCTGAGAAGACTCTTGATATCATTAAGCACGACATTCCAAAAGTCAAGTATACATTGGTGAATGAACAATTAGTTAATACAACCTCATTGTTGTAAACACCTTGGTACATGCATATACAAGATTATTTTGCAATAAACGGTTGTTTCAATTAATGTCTTCCAGTTTTACCTTCTTTTCAATTTGTAATAAAAATTATATTTGCCAGTCCTGTCAGTAATACCTAGATATATAAAGTCGAACCTATAGGCCCGAATTCACAAAGGAGGTTTGTCGACAAACCTTGGTTTTCGTGCGTCATATGACACGTTTCGACGCGTTTTTACAAGCCAGGTTTGTAAAAAACGCGTCATATGACGTACGAAACCAAGGTTTGTCGACAACCTCCTTTGTGAATTCGGGCCATACAGTCTATCTATAGAGACGACAATCTTTGTTTAATTGTTTGTCTGCTTGATTAAAGTTATTTTTGCGTTAAATAATTTGGAAGTTTTTTAAAGCAAGAGATTTAAGGAGGGCAGTAATGACAAAAAATTAAATGCAGAGCAGTGCTCCAATGCATAAAACTCGGCGTCGATGGTAACTTTGCCACTCTTAATGATAACTTTAACGGAAAGCTTGATTTCATTTCCATTGGCTGTTGAGTGGTGTTGCCATGGTAATTATTATTGATAGCAAAGTCATCATCATTGGTAGGTTTTATGCGACGGGGCCAAGAATGATGACAAATATGTGTGAGAGGTAAAGAATGCCAGATAGGAACGAAGCAATAAAGAAAGACGGGGAAAAGGAACGAAATAACATAAGAATATAGAAGCTTGAGATTAATTTCAAGATTGATTTTATAGACAAAGTACAAGACTAATTCTCAGAGTAGTGTATCAAACACGATGAGCATAACAAAGTTATACAAAATACAAATTATTTAACCTGGTTTATCCATGGTGGGTGCCGCCAAATTATCTTTACTGAAGTATTTCTTAATAATCCCGAATCACTTGGAGCCCCAATTCCATATTCAAATGAAAGATATTGAATCCAATGCTGACGTCACGCACAAAAATCGAAGGCCCGTATGTAAGTATTCCACGGCATCAGAGTTAACCATTTGAAGACGAAATCACAACTCAAGAAAGATATGAGAGAAGTCACCGTGATTCCTTAGTAATGTTAGGCCTTCTTAAACCAACGGGTTTCCACAAGAGAAATTCGCCCTATATAAGACTCAAGGAACCTGTATCATTCCACAGTAACTTCCAGGGCTTTGTATTATCACTAGAAAGCACAACTCCATCTAAAAAGAAAGGAGTAACCGTTTGGTGACGTCACGCACAAAAATCACGGTATTCCACAGTAATTTAGGCCTTCACCGAGTTTCTAGTGTATACATGTACAGAAGAAATTAGCCTATTCAAGTTTCGGAACACCTTATCACTCCACAGCAACCGAGTTGTCGGTGCGTTTCTGTAGTTCGTATGTCACAGAAAGAAAATGTGACTATAATGTAAACAGAGTTTAGAATTCGTGCAAACAATCGACACAGCGAATCCCGCATACTAATTTTGAATAGTCTTCTTGCTTCGTTTAGTTTCGTATTGTCTGAGCGTATCTGCCGTAGTTTACAGGAGGGATTAGACTGCCCCGCAAGGTCACTGGACAGGCTGGTGGTTATCTCATCAACTCAGCTCTCAGTTAACATAGGAAAAAGAGGATCATGGGGGACCAATGGTCACCGATTAGGCATTGTATGTTATCTAGAGGGCGCAAGTAGCTACAAGTAGTGCAGTGGGCTTTTAAAAGCGGGAGTTTAAATATCCTCATTTTGTTTACACGAGCATTTCATCACTTCCTTGCTGCACTGCATGGGAAATAATGTGTGATATTTCGTCATATTTAGACAATAACGGAAGGCCGGACGATCAAAAAGTTAATTGTGTTAAAGTTCACGAGGGGAAGTGATAAAATAAACATTACCCTTTGACACACATGATGACGTTGGATAAGGAGTTTCACTTTTATTCACATGACGTGTAATAAGAGATCGGTATCAACTATCAAACGTAAGAGGCGTATAAGAGGTCCTATCAGACTCATTAGAGATCGGTGTAAACTAAAAGTTTGAAAAGGAAACGAAGTGCATAAGGACTGATGATCGAAACGAATTTCTGAAAAAATTGAACCAAGACATTTCAAGAGACTTTGCGTCATCTTCTAAATGGGCATAAATCTATATGGGACTGTTTCAGTGACTAATTACATAATCAGAATACCAATTTAGGCACCATGCAGAGTTGCAGACATGGCCTACGATTGGCTTTTCAAATTCCCACTACACTGATTTCTTGATCTGAGTCTTTGCGGTGGTTAACTATAGAACGTTGACTAAGATAGGACTGTTTAAATGTATTGATGTTCCTTTCCCTAGTGACAAGGTATTCCATTATATACACAACTTGTTGCTATACCAGGCAAGCGTCGGAGAAGGGTTGTCAAGAATTACCTGTGTTCGAAAGGTATGCGTACAATTTGAATATACGCTAGTAAACCGGTGACCGGTAGGATTTCCCCCATGCCTGTTTTGGGGTAGGGTGGGGAGGGGGGGGGGGGCGTCAAACAAACAAATGAACTAGACCCTTCTACAACATTAAAGGTAAAGACCAGTTATGGTCATGCGATTGCATTGTGAAAGAAACGTTGTGGAATTGATCAGAAAAGGTTGATCATCTAGCATCTAGCATCTGCAAGGTTCTGGAATCATCAAAATGATAAGAAATTTGGCCCATTCTTCGTAAAGTTACAAGCACTATACACAGAAAGATGTATATGGGACTACCCTATATCTCTCACAGACCATGAGAGAAACAAATTTACCAAATATATGAATTAGTAGGCGGTTTCCCGGCAAATTTTTTATCATCATGTATTAGTCAAAACATATTCTTTCACATGATTGGTAATGAGAGCTTCCATTTCATTTTTTGAAATTGGGGCGTTTCCAATACTGGTCTTTACCTTTAATCCTGAGAGAAATTCTACCTTGTAACTCGCAAGCTTCGCTATTTCGACCAAGCGACTCATGAGAAGGGTTGTGTGTCCGGACACAACAAAAATATAGTCTTCTCTTTGACCCTGTCCGGGTTTAACGCAAACCAATTCTGTCCTTCATACTGTCTTAATATAACGATTAAACGTCTTGTTAACTTCTTAAAATAACTTTTTATTTTACATCAAACCGTCCAGATAACCAAACAGTCCGGACACGAGCATAGAAGACATACCAGTATACGGCGAGGCCATGTAACGAAAGTCGCAATGGTTGCTCGCATTAGTCGCATATGGTATCTTAAACTGGTTTTTAAGGAAGGCCTAACCGACATCATCAAGAAGTTCATAATAATTAAAAGCGTTCTAAAAGACGAGCAGGTGTGATGCAATGTCCTCCTATCACGGTCAAACATCTAAAACTAAATGATCGCTTTAAATTTTACAAGTTTATGGAAAAGATGGTTAGATAAATTCACTGGAAGTCAGTGACGGGAACATACAGGAAACATAAGAATTCCTCAAGTAAAGTAAAGATGAGAATTTTACTTGAAATAGAGCGAAAATCAGTGTATTTCGTTCGTTGATATGTGCTCCGCTTGACACGACATAGACTGGCTTTACCAAAGCCTTTAACAACATGTTAAAAATATCTTTAACTAGACTCTAGACGGATTTTTCCGTCACAGGATATATTTATTAAATCTGCCACGTTCTATAAACAACGTGAATGCTTTGGAAATCATAAAATAAAACTTTAAAATTAGCAACATGCAATAATATATTGAACTAATTATTATCTTATACGGGTGATAATATCACGAACTAGTTCTTTATCTCACCAATTCATGTTCTCCGTCCAAAGATGTTTTCTATCAATTATTATCCACATAAAACCTCAAACTCTCCCAGCTAGCTAGCTACAAATTAACTTGAATTGAAGCTACACGTACAGCCCCATTCATAATGACGTTCCTGATGGGGGCATGTTCATACGCATAGAAATCTGCGCGTAACAAATAAAATAGCGCGTCCTACGCAGACTGTAAAGCCGTGTTCATACAATGCTTTTACTACACATGTACAATATTGTGTGAACAGAGAATTGCTATGGCGGGGATGCTAAGCTCCAATGTAACATCATTCAGTAGCATTACTGTAAAAATTATCTTGGCATAGATTTTATTACTGACGCTATTTAATCTGAAGAGATAGCCTATAGCCTAGGCTACATCCGGGCAAGTTGCTTATCCGGACAGTCGATTACAAACAGTAATTTGAACTTTTGAAGAAGTTAGATAATATTTAAAGAACGTGATGGTTAGTGCTATTTTTGTTGCATACATTTCGTTAAATCCAAAGGCAAAGTTGATAGCTGTACACCCCCCCCCCCCGGCCCCCCCCCCCCCCCCCTTCATTCTAACATGGAAAGCAACCAGTCAACCAAGCAACGAAACCCGTCAGAATGGGCGATGGTGTGGAAGGGCCGGAAAACTACGTTGCCCCCCCCCCCCTCACATCCGATCAATCTCCTTCCCCTCCCCCTTTTTCACTTCAATAAGGCATGTGCCCCCCCCCCCCCCCACATGCATACCCGTTGTGGCTATGCCAATGTAAGCTTTTAAGCCCTGTATTCACACTAGTATCGCGTGTCCATTGCTGTGTCGCCGTGAACAAATTGTTGTTTCGTGATGTACTACGTTGAAGTGCACCACTCGAGTTGATATTGTCAATGATTGACTGACTGAAGGATATCCGAAACTGTCCTGTCACAATTAATGACAGATTCTAAAAGTAAATGTCATGACGGTCTAGAAATGATCATTGGCCTATTATCATTATTATGAGCAGTGGCGTAACGTGGCTTTAGCCATTGATGGGGGCACTGGTATAGTTTGGGGGAACCTGGGGGGGGGGGCGGGGTGTTTCATAAACTAAAATCGATTTCGACCTTAAAAATCAAGGTCGAATCAGCTTTAGCTTAAAACTGATACTTTTGAATTTTTTTTTTTTTTAAGGTCAGTTTTTATTCTTTTCTCTCTTGAAACAAATTATAATCATAGTACAAATTACAATTATCATATGTAACTCTCACTGCAAACGTGATGACATTATAAATCAGTATACATTTTTGTCTTACAAACGGCTTCAAAAGAAACTTACATAGTTAGTTCCTATACATCATATTTGAAACAAAAATTCATATTTTCAAAGAAAACATATGCAGTTGTATAATCCAAATTTTTTTTGTTTTAACAATGTAGCAACTTATACTTTTTTTTATACTGTTGTCCTGAGAAAAAAGTTTTCTCTTTTTGTTAACCCTACCCTACCCGACCTCTCCCTTATCCCCCTTCCCCCCCCCCTCCCCCCCCCCTCCCCCCCCCCCCTCCCCCTCTTAACCGGTGGACGACTGGCTCTGGGTTCCAATTGTTTGTCTAATACTCAGGTTTTCCCATTTAGAAAAATGAATAGTGAGAGTTCCCCTCATTGCTGCCAATTTCCTTTCTTCTACTTTATCCCCTATTATACTATTCTTTATTTCATTAAAAGAGGGTGGTTTTTTAAGTTCTCTATTTCTATAAATCAGATATTTAACAAGAATTAAAACATGATTCATTAATTGATATTTTCCTTTATTTCTCTCCTCTTTCCCATACAGAATTTCCTCCAAACTACAGTTTCATCAAATCGATTTTGAAGTTAAAATCGATGTTCTTTTTTTAAGATCTGATCGATTTTAAGATCGATTTTCAGTGTTGCTAAGTGAATGAATTACGAATCCGTCGAGTACATAAATGGGAAGGATGTACGGGTGTGTCTGATCATACCCCCCCCCCCCCTCTAAAAATAAAAATAATAATAGGAACCACAACTAAAACTTTATCTCTGTAGAGTCTGTACAGATGAGCCTATATTATCACAGAACATCTAAAATTGGTTTGATTTATTTTCTTTTGTATTCCATATACAACTTCCGGTAATATAACAAACATTCAATATATTTAGCCGTACTTTCTGACAATGAGTCCTAAATAAGCAAATATACATGCCAATTATTTTTTTTAAAGATGAATTGTCAAATTACCATATTTTATAAAACTTTATAACAATAATACGGAAGAAGGACCGCCCACCCAATTCCCCTGATCAAACCAAATCTGCCACTCTCTCTCTCTCTCTCTCTCTCAATCTAAAATAATAATAGTAATAAAGTGACCACTGACGTGACTCCTCTGGATAGTGATAATGGGGGGGGGGGAATAGAGTGAACATTCACTATCTTCTTTTCTAGAGAGCACTCTAAAATAAATTAACATTCCCTCCTTATAAGGTTTTGGGTCGGTCGCAAAGGGCAATACAACATGTTTTTCTTTAGTCTTCCCCAAACAGAAAAGTAGGTCAAGTACGCAACTGTAAAAC